GTATTGATAATTGACTATTATTATTAGGGTGGCTTTATTCAGGGCCTATGCATCCCCTCATCACTGCGACCATCGACTAATCGATTATGATCACCACCAATTACAGTGCAGAGCCAAGGCCGACAGCATTGAAAACTGAAAGACTTTCCTGGCTCCGACAGATGTAATATCCTCTGGTTGTGGCATGTACCTTCCCAGTACGGAACTTCGTACGCCCATCTGGGGGTTGTAGCATTGGGTGAGTAGATGAACAGGAGTTTCATCCTCCGCGTGGCAGAATCTACGTTCTCTATTTTCTCTCTGCCCAATATTTGACATGTGCTTGATTGATTAAGCCACAATGCCCTGTTAAGGCTCTAGTGACCATTCTTATGCCATTCCTGTCCAATGACAGAGCTTCTCTACAGTGTTTGGCACTGTAGGCAGATATCAGGGCTTTTGAATGCTCAAGACCCTTGTTCTGTAGCCACACTTCTCAGGAGAGGTGTGTGCTCTCATTTAGCAGAGTGAGCTTTGCCAGGCTGTATGCTATCCCTATGAAGGGTTCGGGTCCAATAAAGGTCTCCCTAGCACTAGCCTTTGCCAGTTCATCCGCTGACTCATTACCCTGGATGTCAGAGTGGCCTGGAACCCAGCGCAGTACCACTGTATTACTTTCCCTGAGAGTGTTCAGTATATTTACACAGTTCTCTACAATGCTCGATGTTTGGGTGACTGAGGCTAGTGCATGTAGAACCGCTTGACTATCTGAGTTTATGTAAATAAGCTTGTCAACGTAGCCTCTCTTCAGGTTCAAATCCGCACAAGTAATTACGGCGTACACTTCGGCCTGAAAGATAAAGGAGTGACGTCCTATGTTCAGCTTGTAGCTGAGCCTGGGTCTCACACCGTGTATACTACACCCTACGTTGGGTCCCATCTTAGACCCATCGGTATACCATAGAAGGCTACCGTCCTTCCAGTGAGACTGTTAGTTTCCCAGTCCTCCCTAGTTGGAAATTCTACCTGGTAGAGTTTTTTAAAGTTTTGTTTGGGAAGCATGACATCAGAAGTCATTCCCAGAACAGAGTGTTCCAGAATTGAGTCTTGTGCTGATCACAATGTCTGGGAGAGCCCTCTACTCCTTAACCGAGTGGTAAGCCTGTATATGCTGGTACTGGCTTCCCTCTGTATAAATAAATTCAGAGGAGTCAGATTCGGCAATGCTTTTAGGGCTGCCCCAGGTGTGGTGGACATGGCTCCCGTTGCTAGCTGGCACGCGATGCACTGTAGACTGCCCAATGTGACAATTGTGGTTGTTTGGCTGACTTTAGCATTCCAAGCAACAGGGGCGTAAGTGGGCCTCACAATTGCCTTATATTACCAGAGAGTCATCTTTGGTTTTAGACCCCAACGCTGTCCCACCATACGGCTACAGATACCTAAGGCCATCTTGGCCTTGTTGATCGTGTTAGCTATATGGTGGTTCCACCTTAGGGTTTGATCTAGAGTTATCCCTAGATATTTGGCTTTTGCGGAAAAGCCCACAGCCCTGCCACCAAGAATTGGTTCCACTAGTTTGTCTAGTTTCCGTCTCCTGGTTAACGGGGAAATGGTTGTCTTTTCCGCATTGATTGATAATTCGTTATCTTGACACCACGCGGAAATGGTGTCAAGTGCTCCTTGCATAAGTGATGGATATAGTACTTTGGCAGTGATTGCCCTCGAACTGTGATCACCAGGTCATCCGCATATCCTTGAGCATCAATATTCGGTTCAGCCAACCTATACAGGAGCTGATCCATAGCTAGAGTCCACAGGAGAGGAGAAATTACCTCCAACCCCTTACTGTGGAGGCCGCAAACCGGTCCCCATGTAACGAAATACTGGCCCTGCGGCTTAAAAGCATATTCTGTACCCGTCTCGTGGTTGAAGTGTCCACACCTTTGCAGGTTAGGCCCTTCACCAGAGTATGGATAGCTGTATTGTCGAATGCACCCTCAATGTCTAGAAAGGCACACAGTGCTATTTGTTTGTCCTCAAACGCTCTTTCAACTCTGTCCACAAGGTGAAGCAGAGCTGTCTCTGTGGACTTTCCACTCTGATAGGCGTTTCGAGTGTGATGGATAGGACTATATTAAGGACGAAGCCCTAATGTGATTGTCAAGTACCTTCTCTATTGCCTTAAACAAAAATGAGGTTAGGCAGATGGGTCTAAAGGACTTAGCAAAAGAGTACTCCTTTCTGCCTACCTTCGGTATAAATAGAACTTTACACGTTGTCCATTGCATCGGTATGTGTCTCCAAGCAAGACTGGCTCTGTATATCTTGACCAGATATGGCAAGAGTACACTTACGCCTTGCTGTGTAATAAGATGGGAGTAATACTGTCCTCACCAGGGGATTTATACGATTTAAACGAGCTTATGGCCCAAGCCACTTGTCGGGGTCTTATTATGTTAGCGGCTCTGTTTCAGTCTTCGTTGCGAGGTGAATGTAGCGTCGCTGCTGGATTAGTGGGCGTGTCACACAAGGCCCCCGAGAAGTGGGTTGACATTGAAAGTTCAAGGGTTTCTATCGTAGAAGTCGAGAAGGTCCCATCAGGCTTCTTTAACAGTCTTCTTTGACTTTAGCGAGCAGTCTATGTAGACGTGCACCTTGAGGAGCACTAGCGATCTCCTCACAGAACCACCGCCACGATGCTCGCTTGGCCTGGCTTATCTCCTTGTTATAGTTAGTTAGGGCCTTCCTGTAGGTCTCCCATTCCTTTGTTAGTTTGGCCCTATACTGCCCTAGTCTGTCTCTATAGACGTCTCAGGCCGTGTGCCTTGGATTCCTAAATATAGTGGGGTGGCAGACATTTCTTCCTCCCAGATCAAATTTTATGTGTTTATGATCTGACAATGACGTCTCGTCACTAACATGCCAGCCGGTTATAAGTCCGGCTAGCCTAGCCGTAAAGAAAGTAATGTCCAGAATTTCTTGTCTTGACCTAGTAACAAAAATTGGTGTATATTCTTCGTTATTAAGGTACAGGCAATTTGATAGAATAAAGTCATATAGTAACTCACCTCTGTTATTGATGTCTGAGCTCCCCCAGGCGGTGTGGTGAGCGTTGGCATCACATCCCACCAAAAGTTCTGCTTTGTGTTTCCGGGCGTATTCCGCCAGTCGTGTCAGATCTTCCGTGGGATTGTTCTTTTCTCCAGGTAGATAGGCTGAGCATACGATTATCTTGGCCCTTGGAGTAGTACTCAGCTACTCCGGGGAAAGAGATATGCCGCGTTGCCTTTCGCGAAGCAACACTACACCACAGCCGTTGCAGCCACGGCATGGTGGAAGTTTGCTTGGAGAACCCTCATCCTATCCCCCGTGGGCGCCATCTAGCGGAGATTGAAGCCCCGGGCAGCCCCACGTCCTTGCAATTCTCCACGTGCCGAACTGCGGCCACGTGGGTTCGGTGCCGAAAGCCACTGTCGTGTACCCAGACCGTCATTTAGTGCCATTACTGTGGCAGTTTTTGGTCGAGCCGCCCCAGTACTGGCACTTGTTGATGGCTGCGCTATTTGCACTACACCCAGGATAGCGGGTGCTGTCCGAGTGTGCCCAGCCTCCCGTCCGCGATGCACCCACAGTCGCAGACGGGGCAACTCCGTCGCGTTTCCCCTGGTCCGCGGAAGACGGGCCAGGCGCAGACACCACAGGCGCTGAGGCTCCCGGCCCCTATTCCTCGAAAGGACTTGTAACCGACCCTGTTTTCGATACCAAGATACCCCGCGCAGTGTCGCCACTGAACGTACTTTCTGGACACCCCTTGATCCTAAACGTGACCTGTTTAAAACCAAGGTGTGCCCGGCAATTTGAGGCACGGAGATTCTCCACAGATGGGTCATCAAGAAAAGAGAGAGAACGCGACTACCCATCCGTTCGCATCTTCCCTTGTGTGAAGAGCCTTCCATATTTCTGTGCGGAGGCCTCTATTTTGGGCCCCCAGCAGGCTGATGGCCATCTGCACCGACTCACATCCCTTCTTGGGAATGTAGGTGGTGGCGGTGGTGGGCTTCGGAAGCTCGCTCTCCTCAATCAAGGATGGAAGGAAGGAGGCTTCCGACCACGGCTTTAAATTGCCGATCTGTCCCACAAGCCAGTCTGCACTTGCTTGATCCTTACAGGTCACAAGAATCCGGCCTGGCTTGTGAGAGAACTTCGGTCCCTCGCCATGCTATGTAGTACTCGCTACGGTGCGGACGAGGAACAGCTCCACCAGCTCCATTTGCACCTCTGATATGGGTTCCGAATTCCGGATACCCACACTCACGGAGCCCGCCATTTCGCTGAAAGTAGGTCTGTTCCTGCTTTCAGCTGGCGCCATGGTCCTGAGAGCCTTCCTGACATGATCCTGTGGCGACGCCCCCTCTGACCGTTCACGTTTCTGCGCTTTTGGTTTTGAACCCGCTCAGCCGAATGCGCGGCGAGCGCTGGATTCCGGCACCACGGGATCCGAAGGACCCGCCTGGTTCGCATCCATAGCCATGACCGCAGTCACGTCGTTATTGCTGGGTGGACTATCAATCTCAGCAATCGTTTCCTCCAAGGAGGAAATTTGAGCATTAATATTTATGTCTTCTTTCTCCATACACGTCTCACGAGAAGCTAGGGAATTATAAGGTCACAGCCAGCAGAGCCCCGCTTGCCGGCTGAAGGGCATAAAGTGCCCCCGAGTTGCCCTGGTATCGAGGGTGCACCGTTAGCAGCTGGGCTCCCCCAGACACGCATCCATAGGCACGGCTTGACACCCTTAGATTGTGTGAGGCATTTTTGCCAACGCTTAGCAAATGCTCGAACAAAGTCCAAGCATTTACTAAGAGTTGCCCAGGATGTGCCGGCTCATGTCTTCCCTTCCTATGCAATTGGATTACATAGGAATAAAAGCCAATCGCACGCGTGGAAGTACGTCGTCCTGACATCCCAAAAATTTTATTATATATATAATTGACTAACTTGATTTCTTTTTGTTTCAGTCACTGCCACTTTACCACCACAGAGGCCTTGGATACCTTTGACCAGACCTAATAGAACACGTCCTACATGTAAGTATTCTTGAACTTCACCTATTTTTGTACGTTGTACGTATTCTAGAAACGCTGAAAAATGTGTACGGCACTGGAACGACACATTTTGCCCGAATAGTATATTTATTACTCTCATAAGTTACTTGTGTTTTCAGCTACGTGTTATTTTTATTTTTGTGCTTCTCTGTCTATGCCACTGGCTGTGTTAATCACGTTTAAATGGTTTCCCAAACACCTATACTCAGGCAATACTCGCGGAGGCGTGGCATTATTCGAGTAAACCCTAGAGATTAATTTAAACCGATACCATCTTTTGCTCAGGTATTTGCGAATCGATTCATAGGCGAGACTGTATGTTATTATAATGTTTAATGGCCATTACAAAAAACTTCCCAACTAGTTTGTCATTAATAAAGTGTCGTGGTGGCGGGAATGGGCGCGGCGCGCGCTGCCTGTCTCATAAATAATTCGCAGAGACCGCCCTAGCATTGCAATTGTAATGTTTCCAACGGTCTCTGGGCCGGTCGCAGAAAACGCTCCCAAAGGACTTCTTGTTTGGGACTTAAAGCAATAAGAGTCCGAAAAGAATATAAAGTTTAAGAATATAAAGCCCGTCGTAGCAATGGAGTGTTAAAAAGAGTAAAATAATGCCTTTTTTCTGCTACTACACGGCAAAAACTTACTTAGAAAAAGACAAAATTCTTTTTATGAAGACAAATTTATTAAATCCAACAAAACGATCCTCTCCCTATAGACGCTAGAGAATAATTACTTGATAATAGTAAAAAAACGTCTCAAAAGTGTATATTAATTAGAAAACAGAAATATTTAATCCAAAAGCAAATTAATTTACTTGCAAGTCACAAAGCTACTCGAGATTCAACAAAATATTTATTAGTTATTAGAAATGTCAGATTTTGACTTGAAAAAAAAAGAATGAAAAATTGGGAGGTACTTAATTATTTGACTGAAGATTTATGTTTTCTAATATCAAAAAGCGTAAATTTACAGGGTTGTGGACCCATCAGTATGTCTCAATAGCGTGAAAGCACACAGTTCATTGCCAAACCTTAGGGTCGTGTATTCTAGAACTCTACTCAATACTCAAGTCAGGATTTGAGTATTGCAGTGAGCACTGAAAATCATACTCAAGTCCATTAGGGTCGTATTTCCAGTGCTTGACATCATACTCAAGTCTGCTCAAATCCTGACTTCAGCATAAGTTCTGGAATACGACCCTGAAAGTAGCAGGAATAGGACGGAATCTTCTCAAATACTTGAGTACCGTTCAGTGTCATATAAATGCTACAGCGGCAGAAAGCACTAACAATTCAAAATATATGAGATGACTTTATACTATTGAAGTTAACAAAACGATAGCGCGTTTCAGAGTACAACTAATGCCATCTAGCAGTGGCGTGATGCAACTAATTGCATGTTGAAGTTGTACTTGTTACAAGTGTAGTTTGATTACATGCTGAAACCAAATTTCTTAAATTATGACTACATATAGCACACTAACAAACTAGAGATACTACGTATTGTTTCTTTGGGTAAATGACTGTTTATGATTTTTATGATTACAAGCCACATACCCAAGAAATTTTGAATTAATTTAAGATTATTTAAATTTGATGTAAGAGGTAAAAATTTCTTGATGTTAAGTAATGTCCAATGAATTGATTAGAAATGAAATAAAATCTTGAAGTGAAGGTATTTGTCTAAAACTTAGAATAAAGTTAAGAGTAAAATTGTATTAGAAAAAGATAAGCAGTATTTTTGTAATGACAATATTTTATTACTTTTAATAAATATTTTTTCAGAATTACCAAATATTTTGAGAAATTGCTCTTTCTTATTAGTAGAATTCCTTTTTTTCAGTGTATTTGTTTCAAATGCAGGTATGGGATCTAATTATAATAATTTGGGAATACCGTATTATAGGAATATTCCATTTCAAAATCTATCTTTTCAATAGGAAAACGAGAGTCTAAAATAAATATCCGAAATAATAATCGTACATTTAATCCAAGTGTTAATGGATTCACTTGTTAATAGATGTAAAGATGTTCTCCATCCAACAAATTCTACAAAAACGAAAAAAATTCAACGCCTAACATAAGCCAGTCGTCACTGATGACGCGTAAAGTAGAGTTGGGGCTGGCCTCAAATCCGACCTTTGCGTACAGTGGCATCAAGCCCGTCTGCACGCGCGTCGAACGTCCCTGATGTGCGACGGAAGCGGGGCAGCCCAATCAACACACGGATCACGTTATTTTATGGAGTCCACAGGGCTCGTAGGTCATTTTTGTATACTCTCACTACAGACATCTAAACAAAACTTTCTAAAACCAGCCCTGTGCGAGAGCAAAGGATACACCCACTACGCAGTACATGGGCCTCACCATGAACTCTTATTACGATTCAGTTTAGGACCTAAAATGAATCATTGTGGGACAACGCTACATGAATATGTATATCACCATCCCGCTTTTTTGTCGTTACGAATCTTTATTGAACTGTAATAAGAGTTCATGGTAAGGCCCCAGGTCCCGGAACATATAATGCTCCATTCGGTCTTGTTACACCGTTATGCAACGAATAGCTTTGACGTGTGAGTAATTTCAATGGGAGGAGCTTGTTCGCGTGACGAGGTTATTATGATCCTCTTATCGCATCTATCACCCTTCCCCGCCTACAACAGGAATCATCAAGATTTCATATCACAAGTCAACCTTAAAACCTTCATTATCCTGCCCATGCGCCGTATTGATATTACCAGCAAACTAGTTAACTCGCAGTTAGCCAGTTTCCAGTTAACGATCTCATCTCCCTCAACGATGTACAGTATAGATTAAAAGTATATCGCGATCAATTTGTTTTGTTTTATTGTCGTAACTGTTAAATGACATTAAATTTATAATATCTTTTATTATTCCGTGTATTGACATTCTTGAAAGGTGCTCGGCTGGATCTGTTGTAGAACAAAAAAAAATAACAAAAATAATATTCTTATTTGTGGGAAAGCGTCTCGCTTTCCCATAACGCATAAAGAATATTTTCATAACATAATTCATTAGAAACGGATTCCAAACACATTAATCTTAGATTCCCCATCGGAGCTCTCTGGTTCCCGTCACGCGTTCCCGGCCCGAGTTCACGCCGGCAGACGCACGACGCGCACCCAATTTACATAAATCAAGACGGACGCTCCAGCGCACCAAACGGCCAAAGCGTTCCTTCCTAAACAATGATCCCGCCTAACATTCATGATGTATAAAATAAAAAGTTTTAAGTGAATCATAGTTACACAACATTGTTCCAGTCGATCGTCCATAGAATTGGGCGCCCGTACAACCTCGTTACGCGCATTACCTTCGTTACGTGTTGTTGTATAGTGTGTTTTGTAACCGGTAGGACAGTTAGGAAGTGGACTAGTGACCTACAGTTTGTCACCACTGATTGAATTTAATCGTGCTCACGGCCAAGCGGTGCAGGAAGATAGGAAGTGCCCTTCGTCTCGCCATCCGCGACCGAACAATGCACAATGCCAGACATTGGCGCGAGTACGCCCGACCTCCTTACATCCGTGAACCTGTATGCACGATACGAACTATCTCCGTTTACATCCATTTCGTGAAAATCAATTGAGTAATCGAACATCATTTCACACTTGGCAAATTCCATAAGAGCGCTCAACTATTGAAACGCCTTTGCCAAGCTCTCCAAAATTACAAAAATAAACATCGGCTATCGACACACGCCAATAAACCTTGAACGCGTTCACGTATCTGACATAAAAGCGGGTCTCGACAAAAAGTTAAACGTTGCTCGAGATGAGGTCAAAGAACACACAGTTGAACGTAAATCTGTTACGTGGTAAGATGATACATGAGTATTAAGGCCGGCGAGGGTCTAACTCTAACAACGTAGCTCTGGACGGTTGTCGCGCTGAGTTATGTTTGTACAACAACTGCAAGATTTATTCTTACAGCCCAACACTGCGGGAACTCTAGCACCAAAAGGCAGAGCACATTGTACTTACATGATTTATCATCGTAGACGTATTATAGCCGCGGGTAAAATTATTTACTGGTACTCGTCCACGACAACATGCTAACTGAATATCTGTACACACCAAACTTATATGTTCGATTTGTAGAACAGACACGTAATTCGTCTCGTGTCGTACAAAATACCCACGTAATGGGCAAGGCCAATAAACGGGCCCTGCGCCTCCCCCCATTATATTCAGATGAGACGAGATAGCTTACAGCACTCTTATTTTTATTCCTTTTTTATTGCTATGCTAAACACTGGCCCGGGACTGAGATGTTCTGATCAACATAAACATTGCGGCGCGCACCAGGCCGTATTCTAATTGCAAAATTCAAACTCCTTCGTCGTATTTCAGTGGAATAAGCTCTTAAGTCCATATAAATGTTTTAAAATGATATCAGTTCAAATCGTATTGCGTTCCTTTTGATTAATGTGCATTCATGAATCTTACAATGCGTGCAGTACTGTATCTGTTCTCTTGTATTCGAGAAGGGCTCCTATTCCCAGGATGCTTTTGATTCATACGTTACTTGTGAACTGATGGACCCCTGTGCAATTTGTCAGTCTTTCACCACCTTTACTGTCTACAGTCATTCATGTAAACCCCGACCTCTTCGAAGATGTTAATTATGTTTTTCATTTGACCTTTCCTTGTTAACAGGCGATGCTTAATGGTGGTATACCACCTACTTATTACTTTGTAAACTATTATATAACAATTGCGGCATATAACAATGTTGTCACTCAGCATGACGTGTTTAGTAACAGTCGTTTATGTTACATTTTGTTTACCACTGGCGCTATTGTCTGCGTTATTTTGATTGTTATAGAGTGTTTTTAATACTTACATGAAAATAAAATTACGTAAAATTTTACCTTGTTTTATCAAATTTTTATAGTATACAGTGACATTGAAAGTAAAGAAGCACGAACAGATGTGCGTTCCCATGCAACTTTCGCCACGTGATGCCACACGATGTTTCCATGTTCCATATAATAGGATCTATTCATTGCAATTATTGACTTTCCTATGCAAATTGCGATGGGGCGAACACGCTTCCGTTATTATTAATGCAACTTTTGTGTAATGACAGACTTCAACAGTTATAATTAATTACTATAAAAACGCAAAACCTTATTACTAGTTGCTACCTATGAATTACATTTGAATGCTACCTACAAATTACGTTTTTATACACTTATTCATATCATTTAAACAGTCAAAATCATATGATTTTGGACCCATTAACTGAAGGTGAAATCCATAGAACAAAGCGACTGGCAACGAACCCGATTTTGACCGTCCTAACAACGTCTCGTTAGCACCTATTGAGACCTCTTACGTCACACCGTCGATTACACCTCGCGAACCCAACGTGATCTAATGAGCTCTTTACGATGCCAATCCAAGTGGAAATCTTCACAAACCTTCGACTTAAATATTTAATGATCCATACACATTTGCGGCTTTTGTCTCAAAAAAACTCAAGTAGGTTGTTTATAAATCTAATTGCGATTGCAAATTATTATTATTGCGTGACTAACTGCGCTAACGGTATCAAATTAACGATGATCATGTTCCGAAGTCTCTATTCAAGCGTATTTTGTGGTGCGATAATGTTCATTTCTTGAGACCTGTGGCGACGCGAATTACGGCGACTGGCAGGACCAGTCTGCGCTAGACACAGACGTATCCACAGTCGCTGTGACACGCTTCACTGGCAACGCGACATCCACCGCCACGCCTTTTCCGACTACTTTTTTTGTTCCACGCACCAACCCTACATAATATTTATTATGTGACGTATCTAATGTACACACACGCATTCCTGGCCTGTAATATTAAAGACGCCGTACTCACGCAAGTGAAGAATGTCATAGCTGTATCCGTTTATTTTTAACCATACCTTGTTTGTTATGGGAACGTTGCCCTGCTTTTTCCCTGCATAGTCAAAATATGTAAATTCCTATCATTTGTAGCTAACAGCCTAAGTGCTTAGCGCACGCGCACATTCTTTGATAGCCAACATAGATATCTGTTTAACATTGTTTCGCGACGTTTGGCATGTGCGCCGCATAAAATGACTCGGTGCACAATGGGTACAGCCCGAGCACGTGCTGCGCTCGCATTGATGATCGCCAGTCGAGTGTCGCAGGTACGTTCACTCTACCGATTAGCATGGGCGCTACAGCTCCGAGATCTTTATCTATTTGTCCACTCCATCTCTGCACATCATCTCCCTTTATTGTTCTGTCCTGTTGCACGTCACTCCAATGTCAGCGCAGCTTTGTCTTACACTTGCATTACAAGTTGTTACTCTCGTTCTATTGTGCGTTGATTGACTAAGAGGGGCTCGACTTTATGCAGATAATTACTTCGCCAAGGTCTTCCACGAAGTCGACATTTAGACGGGCGGCCCTCATCCTCCAGCGTTCCTTTTCAACCACGTAATGAGACGGGTGCGAGTACACCGCATTCGCATAAATCTGAGATAATGGCGTGGAGCGTGAGAGAGCACAGTCGTGCCGTGTTAGTTTACGTAATAAGTGGATACGTCGAAATGACTGTGTCGTCAAGCCGCTCGGTCGAGCCTAATTCAAACTCACAACCATTCTCAACAAGACCGTTTCTCTTCCTAGTATTCGCTAAACTACCTTCAGAGTCTTATGTGATTTTATTTAGGTGTCCCGCAATAAGAAGCTTAAAATTGTATGTTCTCACTCGTAAACATAAACGTTTGTGCCGTTTTCTCATCATCAACAATCATTCTAATGCACTATACACGAATTGCCCAAGGGGTTTCAATGCAGCTGTTCAATGTCTTATTTCCTTTCGCTATGCTTAGAACGAAGGTGAAAATTGTGTACGGTTTGCAAACGTACGATAACCTTAATATAATCGTGATATAAAAAAAAAAATTGTCGACATTGTGTCGCGTGCCACCACTCTGCCTTACACGACATGTAGAGCGTAATGCGAGTCTCATTTAATTGGAACACTTTTTTATCCGTCACGCAACATGTTCCCGAGTAACAAAGCATCAGAGATAGCTAATTGCCTGATGTGTGGTTGACATGTGATTGTCAGATAAATGAGAATATTGCACATCTCGACTCGAAGAGCTTAATCCGCAAAAAGTTTCTCACCCATGAAAAGGTTCTCGAGTGTATGAAGCAATAACACGTGACCTGAATACATTGCAGTAATATTTCGATTTTTGGATTAGTTGATTCTTGTTTATGTTTGACTAACTGCTTTTACAATAAATAATGCAAATTTATTGGTGTTACAGGTATTTTCACAGTAATGTGCTACAACGTTTTGTGTGACAAATACGCCACGCGACAAATGTATGGGTATTGTCCAAGCTGGGCGCTTGAGTGGGACTACAGAAAGAAGGGCATTCTCGACGAGATTCGACATTACTCTGCGGATATCATCAGCTTACAGGCAAGTATATTTATATTTACCGATTTTCTCAATCTGCACGTATTGGACGCGATTTCATTAAGACATTTCTGTTTCAGGAGGTAGAGACAGACCAATTTTACAACTTCTTTTTGCCTGAACTTAAGCAGGATGGGTACGATGGCATCTTCTCACCAAAATCCCGCGCAAAGACTATGTCCGAATCGGAAAGAAAATATGTCGATGGATGCGCCATCTTCTTTAGATCTGCCAAGTAAGTTACTAATCCACCTTCATCGCTTGAATAAGCAGTCTGAGAATTTATACACAGTATACAGACAATTCTGTAGTAATTTTTGCACGGTTTCATTTAAAACAATAGGATTGCAGATGGTTAAGAAAATAAACGTGTGACACTGCTTTATGGTTCTTGGAACAAACAGTTTTTTGTACATATATTATGCCCTCAATAGTGAATGTTTTGTGCATTGTTTTCCAGGTTTTCGTTAGTAAAAGAGCACCTGATCGAGTTCAATCAACTGGCTATGGCTAACAGCGAAGGGTCAGATAACATGTTAAATCGCGTTATGCCCAAAGACAACATCGGATTGGCTGCGCTGATCAAAACTAAGGAGGCCGCATGGGAAAACGGTATGCACACTATAAGTAACACCTTTATTTATTTATTTTTTATGTAAAGTAGGAGGCAAACGAGCAGAAGAGCCACTTGATAGGAGGTGGTCATCGTCGCCCATGGATGTCTGCAACATCAGACTCTGAAAGCCTTGTTGACAGGAAATACTAATGAGGAAGATGGATGATTTTTTTTATAACATCAAGTGACGGGACGAACAAGTCGTGCGCCTGATGGTAAGCTACACGTCTGTCCATAACAGTTACAGTGCTACTCGAGAGTTTTAAATTGCAAAGATCTGAGAGACACTACCACTGTGCCCGTCACCTTGAGACATAAGTTGACAAGTCCCATGTGCCTCAAATTTCACCAGCAGCCTTACCCTTCAAAACCGGAACACAATAATGCTGACATTACTGCTTGGCGGCAGGTAAGGTGGCAGTACTACCCTGGACGAACTCTTCCACGAGGAGTTCTATTGCTACTGATCATAAGATCATTCCACATCTTACAGGTTCGAGGAAGGAACGAACGTAATGCCCGCATGATCTCACACTGCCAGGCCATCATAGATATGATGTGAGGATGGGGTCTACTTCATTGGCGGGAGTAGAGCCCATCCCTACCTAGTATTAACATTGCCCTATTCTAGTATGAAACTTATTAAATTTAGTAAAGATGTTTACAATGATTGCATTGTAAACATCTTTACTAAATTGCTAAATGCAGCCTGGCACTTACGATTGCTATAGATTAGCGTCGTGGACTCCCGGTATTAGGATATTTATTAGTTGTATCTTTTCCTTGAATCTTCAAACTGCGTAAATTGTCATGAAATATCTGTCTCACTTCAGGTATACCGACAGACTCATCGATGCTCGGACAGCCCATTTTGGTTTGTACGGCGCATATTCATTGGGACCCTGAGTTCTGCGATGTGAAACTGATTCAAACGATGATGCTGAGCAATGAATTGCGATCTATTCTTGACGACTCGGCCAGGACGTTACGTTTGGCGGGACAGCGGGACAACGTGCAACTTCTGCTCTGTGGAGACTTCAACTCTCTGCCTGACAGCGGTAATTATTTTTTATGTGAAAACAATTTGTTGGCTAAACTTGTAAACCGCATAACCTCAATTAATGGGAGCTTATGAGTAGTACAAAAACAGAATTACTGGAAATAATTACGTGGCAATCTATCTATCTATAACCTTATTTTATAAGTAAAAGAAAGTCTAGAAATTATATTTTAAGCTTAAATTGCGGTATATCGCATATGAAGAGTAAAAAAGGGATTTCCTCCAAAAACGGAGTTAAGAGGTTTTCAAATTTAGCCGACGAATTGCGTTTTTTGAGGTTATATCGGGAAATAGAAAACATTTCCAACGATGTTGCAAATAAAGTTAATTGTTATATTTTTTTAAACTCTTATATAAGTGATATTGTGAACAAAGAAATACAAATTATAAAAAAACACATTATTATTATTAAATAATAGAAAGTTGTTTACTCGGAGATTTAGTTTGATTAACGCCTTAGTAATGAATAACCCCTCGAACATTGTGTGCCTTTAAAGTTGATGCTAAGTGGAAAACGCAATTTAGTTTCGTAGTGAATTCCGTTGCTCTAGTACTCGTAGTACAGGGAATTGTATAGAGACCAGGCAATTCTGGCCTTTAGTCAAAATTGCGCTTGTGACAAAAACTCAAAACCGAGAAAATAATGTTTAAAGAAATGAAATTGAAAAAATATCTACTTTTCTATATAACTTCATACCTTATCCACATAGAAAAAATAAAAATAGTGACAGATCAGCCTTTTTTACTGATCATGGCAGTATACGAAGTACATACATATCTAACAATTTTGTTTTTATGTCATAATATGCGCTATTTTAACTAATGGCGCCAGAATCGATGTGGTTGTCTGGCACATTACAATTATTATATTGAAAGTAATCGTGTATATAAAATTATATTTAAGCCAAACCAAGCCAAAGCATGGAATGAATTTTTTAATTGTTGAATTCCAGGCGTGATAGAGTTCTTGTCAGCTGGACGAGTATCGGCAGAACATCGCGACTTCAAGGAGTTGGGCTACGCGGCTTCGCTGCGTCGCATGCCAGGATCTGAGCACGAGTTCACGCACAACTTCAAACTAGCCTCAGCATATAGTGAAGATATTATGCCCTATACCAACTACACGTGAGTTTACTTTTAACTACCGGTAGAGCTCCTTGTTAAAGAGTTCGTCCAGGGAAGTACTGTCACCCTACCTGTTTCTGCCGCCAGGCAGTAATGTCCTTACTGCCGTTCTAGTTTTGAAGGCTTAGGGATAAACCACACTTATCGACGAGTAAGCAGATTCTTTGCCGATGTGTGGCGCCGCGTTCGTACAAGCCGATGCGAAACGCATAACGTCTTTCACTCTTACGTTCATGGACATAAAGCTTTTTCTGATCGTCTTAATGCGGTTCCGCGTCGATAAGTGTGATTTATCCACAAGGGTGCTGGTGAAATTATAGGCACGTGGGACTTGTCAACTTATGTCTCAGGGTAACTGGCGCAGTGGCAGTGCCCCTCAGTTCTTTACGATATAAAGCTCTAAATCGTAGTGGAACTGTTACGGGTGGGCGCGTCGCTTACCACCAGGCGCACGACTTGTTCGTCCCGTCACTTATTATCATAAAAACATTCAGCGCTGGACGTTATGTGCCTCTAGCAAGAAGCGCCTTGGTCGCTGTTCCTTCTTCATCCTATCGCTCTTCTTGTGCACAGGTCATCCATCTATCTTGTCATTGAATGTCCTAGACACACAACAATAAATACAGTGGAAGTGCTTAGTTGGCGTTGCACGTGTGCGAACAGTTCGCGGAGTTCCGCAAACTTAAGCTCAGTCCGCCATTTTCCCTTTATACGTTTTGATCTTGTCAATTATGTCGCGCAAAACCTCGAAAATCGTACATAAATGCTACTTTACTACTTTGGCATGCAAAAATAGTCGATAGTCGCACTTGTGATATTATCTATGGTCGTGTTTTGTATGATCATAAGTCTTATTTTAATTTTAATAAATTTTCAATTTTATGTTCATCGTAATAATTTTTATGTATATTGTTATAGGAAACGAAAGTAAACCTTATACGCCTACTACTATTGTGGTCGCTTCTTTTCTGTGAAAACCATTGACTTACAATTATATGGACGTCGGGTCCGCGCTAAAAAGTGTCCGCACTTGTAAGGCGCTAAAATCGTATACAGAGCGCCAAACTCCGCTTTAGTTTCATTTGTTCGACTGACAGCGCGATACTGCGATGACATTACAATTTAAATTTCGAATAGGTTGACTTGGGACATTTTTTTCGTGGTTTTTGTATTAGACCCGTCGTCCATTTATTTGTAAGTCAATGGTGAAAACTAAATAAACATCTCGATTTCGTCGTCGTTCAACTATTAACCGCTAGATGGCAGTACTTTGATTGAAATTTCGATATAAAATCAAAACGTCGTAACTTGTAATAATAGGTATTGATGGTATTGAACTTTCAACTATATGGCAACAGGGTAAATTTTAAATTATATTAACAGTCCAGAATTTGTTATTTATTTATAAATTTGAATTTACAACCAATCATTATCAAGTTTTCATAGTGTTTCAAATTATGAATGAGTTTTGAGGACGGAATTTTTGTTTGTTTGTTTGTTTGTTTTGGAATTTGAGGACGGAGGAGGAAATTATGAATGAGGTTCTGACAGTAGTCGAGGCTTAAGGCACTTCCATTGTTTTTTTTCTTCCGTGGTCCTAGACTTCGTTTACCTGTTCGCAACCTCCCCTCGAGAACCTATTTGTTCAACTGGCTATCATTAATATATTTTTCTATTAACAATCTCTTGTTGTCTTTTGAGTAGTTGTTCTCATGTTTATTGATTCATCAAAGAATTCCGAATTAACTGGTCATTGGTCGCTTCCCTGCGAGTGATTAGCAATATAGTGCTGTTAACACATGTTTTTAAAGATTACGCAGATGGTTTCACGGTGTTTTACTTTGTATAATTAGATAAAGGTTAATATTATCTAAGAGAACAGGAGAACGAACGTATGAGTATGAACATGAGTATAAGTTTATTAACCCGTTCATGAGTAATACTTAAATAGTCGCACACAAAAATGTCACTAGTTTTTCATTGTGCCGCAATACTTATTATATTGATCAATATAAAATTGTTCAGTTGAATTTTGTCAGTATGTTGTTGATTCTTTTTTATGGAATAGCAGTTGGTGGCTAATACACAGAAAACACTTGGATATCGCGTTGTAAAATCCGAAGATGTTTTTTTGAAATCCATATAGCGAAAGTTTCGCTGCGAAACGGAGTACCCCGTACTATTGTAATATTCTAATATTTAATTTTACGGTAAATGGCGTTACTGTCCATGAATGGGTTAACTAGATAGTGAGTTAAAATAGTTTTAATTAGCCCCAGTTTTTGTGAAAGTATACATATGGAAACCTGGGAAAATTCTGCATGCAAGGGATTTTAATGATTTTTATTGGGAAGGGGGTACCTCAATATTGGTCCCATTTCAATTTGAAGAATATATTTCACCTTTAAGGGTGGCAAACTAGGGGATGAATCCGGTTTCACTTGCACTTTCCGGTAACCGATTTCAAAAAAACTTGGCAAATGATGTAAGTCCACGAAATTTTGAGGTCGATTTCTGTTTTTTAAAAAGTAATTAAATTATTTAAATAATAATCTTTACACGTCTCATGGCGACGGTTGACTCCTTCATAGACCATTTGAAATGAGCCTTTATCATCTAAATCTTAAATATCAATGTTTTGTATTGATGATTGCATTCAATGTTTGCAGGTTCGACTTCAAGGGCATAATTGACTACATATTCTACAGTAAGCAGTCGATGACGCCGCTAGGGCTGCTGGGGCCTCTCTCGCAAGACTGGTTCCGGGAGCACAAGGTCGTCGGGTGTCCGCACCCGCATATACCTTCAGGTACTCTTTATGTTTCACCACAATAGTGAGAACGTTAAAATATGCGAAGCGACGCAATCATACTACTATAAGTAACCGTGGATGGGAATGTACCATATTGTGGTATTTATTTATTAATAAGTATAACTAGACGTGTAATTCATAATTGCTAACTTCATCGGGTACAGGTATCCTGTACATACCTATTATACTATGGTATTCCAATTCCTACTTTTCTTTTCTTTATTAAGAGTTTTGGCTTGGATACAAGTCCTTAGAGTCATGTCTTTGTTTCTATTATCGGGATCCTCACTAAATATTTTCCATTGTGATTCTACAACGTTATGTTTTCACTTTCTTTTATATCACATTATTGCCACTTTGAACATAACTTTGAATTCCTAATTATTGGAATTTTCAGAATAAACACTTTTGTAATTTGGTTTAAAACAGAGGAATATAGTTCTAACTCTTCATAACTATTTTTTTCTGCGTATTTTGTTTATAATGTACTTAAGGGCCTATACAACCTCAGCTCAAATTCTAATTTCGCCCCCACTTCACCGCGCCGCCTAACTCTTTATCTCGCTCGCACACTGCTGCTCGCGGTCACGCGGGCACACCACGAGTACGATGCAATTTTGGTAGACTAAACTACCTACTTTATTTATGGGACAAGTATTAAACTTCTAAAGTAATAAAATTATTAATAATAAGTCAATATTATCAAAATAAACTTTTATAATTAGGTATCACTTTCAATGTACTTACCTACTTTTTTATTATGGTAAAATCCTCCCACCCTGAGTGGAGCGGACGGGACTGTCAGACTCTTACTGACTAAAATCCACGGTGTACCCTCAATAGCCCTTTTGGACAGTACCACGACCCCGGCAAGAATTTCAATGTACCTACTAACAGTTGCTTATCAAGCTAAAATTTCCAGTATAAACTGACCCCTCATTGTACTGAAAGCCTATACAATGCGATATCAACTTATACTGGAAATTTGCTACAAAATAATAGACGAGCCAACGTTACGGTGAGGGTTCCGCACATTGCTTTTGTAGTACGTTTGAGTTTTATAATTTTCTCCTTGTATGTATTTTTGACAGCCGTTTTTGTATGTAGTAGGTCTAAATGTATCTATATTATTATTATACCTATAAGATTTTTTTAAACCGATTCTGAGTCACTGCATAAATTCTACTGTTACAAAAAACTAATCAAGTGCGAGTCACCATTGCAGTCAGGGTTCTGTGGGTACATTGGCGTGGTAGTAAAACGCTTTGCCATTATACAAATTTCAAAATAAATCACCGAAATGTATGACTGCACATAACTTCCGAAGGACTGCAACATATTGGATATCGTTTTTTGTTTTATTCGGGATTCTCAAGGCATGGTTTGTATGACTATGAAATTAGATAGGTAAGTAAGTATGTAGATAAGTAGGTTACGTAGCTATACAAATATGTGAAAAATATGATGCGTTTTCTTGTTATCTATTAGTAGGTAGGTACGTAAGTAGTATACTTAGGTAGGTATGTAGTTATATACGTAGGTAGGTAGGCAAGGATGTAGGATAGGTAAGTATATAGGTAGGTAGGTAGGGTAGATATGGTTTTTACCATAAGTTATTACACATTGTCAAAATTACATAATATTTAATTCGCTTAAATCTCTTATTGGCATATTTCGAACATGTCTGGGATCGCATAGCTCAGGCAACATGCATGTCATATAAAACTGTACTAATTTTGGTTCCATTTCTTGCCAATATTGGTCATCTCTCTCTATAATTTCAACTTTAACGTCTTTGTCGTATCCAGACCATACTCCGAAAATACATTTTTGCCTACCAGTTATATGAAGTTGTCCCTGTACTTGTATGTACCAAGGATGTTTTTTATTTATGACAAGTCCGTTTTTTGTTTTTTTCCAAAACTTCACTTTTTTCTTCTCTATAGATTCTTCCAAAGATGTTTTAAATGCTGTTATAGGACACTTGATTTCAATGATTGTGTCTTCTCCCACTATTCCATCTGGAGTTGCACCTAGAAAAGGCAAGTTTTTATCTATGAAGAGACCACAAGGCTCTATTTGAATGTTTAATTGTAATGCTATTTGCTCTGTTGCCATTGCTTCATGTTCTATACCATGTTTCAGAGATGGGACATGACTTAGATTTTTTGGATATATAAGATTTTTTACTAAATTTTTCACACTTGAGTTTTGTCGCTTATTTACAATTTTGGAAAAATTTGATGCCGTTAGAAGTTTTCTTCTGAGCTCTAACCACTCACTTGACTCTCTTTGTAGAATTGTAGACTTTTCTACTTGTCTTCGATCTTCTTCTGAACTGGGCAAACTTTTCAAAAAATCCTCTTTGATGCGATTGTACTCCAGACTTGTCATGTCTGGCTTTTCACAGTTTTCACCATAATCTTTATCTTTTGTTTTTAAAAATAGTTTTCTACATTTTTTTTTACTATATGTCGATGCTCTTTGTCTTTGTTTTGAGCGCTTCTCCTCTAATTTCTTCACTAGCGACCTGGGACTTCTCCCCAAAATCGCTCTGTGTACAGTGGTAAGTGGGCGCTTTGTGTTAAATGATACCACGGCAGCGTTGCATCTTGCATCATAGCCCCGACGTAATGAAAAGTTAATGCGTTTCCCACCAACAAATTTAGCAATTATACTGTTGAAAGACTCTACTCTATTGCTGTCACTGTTGTGCATAAGACTTCGAGCCTTAGCTGCCACAGTGTTAACCACAAATTTAATTCTATGCCATATAGCACACGTCTTCAAAATTAAAGTTAAGTCTTCACTATTGTTTTGGCTAGTACAATAATAGGGTTGGCAGTTTTCGTGATTTCCGAATGCATGGTTGTATGAATTCAAGATGTCTGTAAATAGGTTACTTACTTTTATGTCAAAGGTGGCGTCTTTGGAAATATGTTCAGTTATGGATGAGCAAATGACTTTACGGATAGCTAGGATTCTTTGAGTAGTAATTTTTTTTCTTAAATTTGAAGGATATTTGGTTTCTGTAGTTATGTTCTTTAGCTTTTTACACATGTTTCTGAAAATGTGATTTTTGCATTCTATTTTTTCTACGGTACAATTGGGATATGGACGTCCTTCCAAAATTTTTTTGTATGTGCTCGAGTCGCCGTCTGCCACCATACGTTCGTATATAAGGTTATGCATGGGAATGGACTGTTTAAACCCCTCTAACAATATCTCAGACTCCATACCGGTAGAAGGACCGCTATAATTTTTATAGCATACATGGTCGCCTGAACTGATACCTTTACTTTCAGCTCGGGCACATATGCCGCAGTATTTGTTCTTTACTCCGATGAACAAAACCTCACCGAACCTTTTGCCAATTATAGCGGCAGCTCCAGATAGGGCTGAAAAATTTGTGTTGAAAGAACGTTTACTCCAGACACCATCTGCAATCACATCTATGCAAGCAAGGCCATTTTTTACTCGCCCTTCTGCAATAGCCGCATCTCGTTCCCTTGCTGCAGCTGCCTCCATAGTAATTATAGCAGTTTTTCGCCAGTCATCATATATTTCATTTTGGACTTTAACATAGTGCTTTTGAGAGAAATATGGACAATCCATCGATGCACATAATTCACTAAATTGGGAATAGCCAATTCCAGAAGATATGATACCAGATGTTGCAGATTTGTTTAAATCTAGGTCTGATTTCGGCTCAGAATCAAGATAGAATATTAGATTACACATATTGCAAGCTAATTTATATTTGGAGAGCAGACCTTTTCTTTTTTCTGATATAATGTGAACGTTGCTCAATGTACATCCGAATGCCTGATTATGATTGGATATTTCTTGAAGTCGTCTATAAAAATATTCTACATCAATCATTCTCCGCCCTTCTACACGAAAACAGTTTTTATCTTCCACAGGGTTATTAAAACTCACTTCGCACCTGAAACCACCAGAATATTTTTTTTAGGAATTCTTGGTATACTGAATAACATACATGATACACATAAAAATTCTCATATAAAAAATCTAGCCCTTACCAATTAGTATCATCATCACATTCATCATCTGGTGTACCGTATTGCGGAAGATTATGTGAATATCTGAAAAGAAAAGTTTTTTTTAGTATAAGAATTAAGAAATTATAATCTTCACTTCCTAACTAATAATATAAATGTGCAATGTGAGTTTGTTTGTTTGTCACGTTAAAGTAACTGAACGGATTTGCATAAAATTTAGCACATGAAAAGACCATGGCCTGGAAACGGGTATAGGCTACTTTTTATCCTGGATCACAAAATACGTCACGAGCAAAGTCAAGCTAGTCACTAATAAAATCAAGAGTATTATTATTAAATAGCTTACGGATCCAATATTCTTTCGTCACTATATGTATTCAGTGAACAACTTGTGTCTTCAGGTGGTACTTGTGATCTGCAAGAAAACGCAACATTCATTATAAAAGTACTTACTCCTGAAAGCATAATTATATCAACATGAATAACAATACGGAACCCTAAAAAGTACAACAACATGAAAAGTGTGTGAACTCGCCAATCCGTTACGCGTTAGTACAAAACGGTAATGCCATGTAACAAAGCACAGAAAAAAATATCTTGATGAATACGTATGATACTTACAATTCAATATTTTGTAATGTATGAACATTTGTTTCGTCTGAATGTATTTCTACTTCTATCGGAAGTATTTGGGTCCTGTAACAATCACAAGTGGCTGGTATAATAATACTGGCCGATATACCTTACATTATTTGTTTATCATTTCGCTAAGGAACCCTAAAATTGTGCAATAATAAAAGACGAAATCGTCCATAAAATCATAATTGCATAATCATATAGCTAAATAATTATTATTATTGTGTACGTACGTTTATTATAGAAATACTGGTGCGGGGGTACGCATGGCTACATATATGAAACTGTAATTTCCAGTATAAGCTGACCTCCCATTGTGCGGAATGCCTATACAATGCGAGATCAGCTTATACTGGAAATAATTGCTTTTATTATACCTTATTTTAAAGCTGTGACGTAGTAACTAATTACTAATCTGTGGCTGTGTGTTTCAATAACAGATAAGTTACGTGCATAAATATTTATAGGTAGCAGATACTCACGAATTTTCTGGAATATTCTCTTTATCAACATCATCTTCAGTAGTGTGTAATCGACGTCGTCTGGAAAGATCATCATATTTATTATTTAGCTAATCTACTATAGTACGCCCAGTAAGTTCATATTTTTTATGTATTTTACAACATGCATAGCTACCTAGCGCCGCACGTCCGATTGTGTGTGAAGCAAGCAATAGTTTGGTTTTTGCAGCTAGTGTAGGTACTGACCGTACATGCTGCAATTCGGGGCCGGGTTCGATTACCGCACGGAACATTTATTATTATCTAATGGGCGTTATGGCCTACAAATAGTTGTGAAGACTTGAGTTTGTAATTGCACCGTCTTTTTCAGTAGCAATCGGAGAAATAAGTTTTGGAGTTATAAAAATATAAAAACTATATTTTGTTGCGTCAAAACAAAAACAAACCTATTTAGGTAATTAAATTTTTTTATAAACGTCACTATACATAGTATGTCACTTCACTAATACTGTAAATAGATACGTCGGTAGATACTTACTTCATTTCGATCATATGTTTGCCTGCTTCTTTACGCCAACCCCGTCGCTTCTTATTTTTATTACGGCTATTTCCCATTACGCAAACACTAAAAACTCACGCAATTCAATATTGTTAGTTTACGTCGCGTAATGTGTCCTGAGTGCAAAATGACACAACCCTCCCGTACGAAAGCCGGAGCAGGACTAAGCGCGGGTGGCGCGCGGCAGGGAACCAACTTTAATAAGGCTTATATTATATGTTATTTAATTGGGGAGGAAATTCAAAAAAGTAAATAACATAAGACCTGCTTTATAGTTAATTAAGTAAGTATAAAAAGTTTCATGATCTAATTTGAAGTATTTTATGATTGCCAGCGGTTTATTGTTCAGTTTAGAGGTAACTTGGGGATTTTTTTCTATCGAGAAAATTTTATGCAATCGTGTTTTCGCCAAACATAGGACTTAACATTATTGCTCAACTTTACCATATATTTATTTCAAAATTAATGCTGCAGTATTTTCGGCGTAACAGAGGATTTTCCTAAGCCATTTGAGGTAGTATAGGCTCTTAAGATTAATGTTTGTAAAAACTGCACTTGTAACTTCAAAAACACGCCATTTTTTCCCGTTTTCTTTTAATTTTGTAGTTATATTTAGTGTTATTTCTACTGACAAATTTGGTAACATCTTCTGTTCACAAAAGAACTTGCAAATGTAGCCTAACTGCTTTTAGCAAAGCATAGACGCATTTCCCATCTCTACTGTCTATCTACTGTCTAAATCAAAAGTCAGCTTCACGTTCAGCGAATAATGTCAAATCATACATTTTAGAAAACAAACAAATAGATTTTGAAAATATCTATTTTCTATTTATTTTATTACTTCTTTTTTAACTTTTTTTTTGTATTTTTTTAAAAGTGATGTGTTTCAGACTTGTATTTTAATTATTCTTAAGGCAGTTTGGTGAATTGTCTTTTTTTTAGTTTAGTACAATTTTAAAATGTTAATGGGTAAAAATTGCAGTCACAAAAGTTGTGCTTCGATATAAAAAAATTGTGAAGTTTTTACGTGATCGCTAGCGACATCTGTCATTGTAAACTCATAGTAAAAGTAGTAATACATATTGTAAGACAATGAATACATAAAATAGGATTTGACGTTTCATTCTGAATGTAGAGGCTGATTTTAAAGTTACACGGTTGGTAGTACAAGACCTTTGTTGTTATAATAAGGTTATTTTATTATTATTTTTTAATATATAATAGACACGCTTGGCCACAAACTCTAATTACTTAACAGGTGTTCAATTATTACGTAAAACCACCCATTTTTGATAAAAGATGCATTTAAAACCTTTGAAATCTTGCCTTTTCCCTATAATTGTTTAGTTTAGTTGATTTTTTAAACGTAATTGTATGTAAAATATTTTCTTGTAATAGCTATCTAAATACTACAGCAAGCGCTAAAATGAATTTAAAAAAGAAAACTAAAAATTCGCATCTTTGTATTTGGTTTCCAACGACTTTTTAGCCGTAGCGCCATCTATGAGAAATCTATGGAAGTATTTCGACACCCAGTTGAAAATTCGTAATTTAAAATTCAAACAATGTTTCCATTGTATTGCAGATCACTTCCCGCTGCTGGTAGAGCTGGAGATGTGCCCCACGAGCAGCAACTCGAACGGGCTGATCGGGCGTAGGTAGCAGCCCGCGCCGCGCCCGTCCAAGGCCAAGCGCCCGCCCGCGCCGAAGCACAGCTGAGTCAGCCCGCCACTCCCATCCCCATCCCTCCACTCCGCACATACCTTCCTCGCCATAAGGACATTGTCGAACGTGAACTCGCGTTCGCGAACTCTAATCGAAAGACTTCATTTCCAACAAGTGCGTTTAGCGTGTTAGAAGCTCGGGGTCTCAAATGCAACTGAGTGTCTTAAACACCTATACTTAATTATTTTAATTCTGTGTCAAAGATCAGTGAAGCGTCAGCTTTGTTATTTGTACAAATATCAGTACACGTTGTTTTACTACTTGGCTCTCTTTTGATGGTAGTATGTTTTATTGCAATTTGTTTTGGGTGGACATCGACGGCCGTTTTCTTATTGCTGGATTTTGGCCACACTCGCTGTTAATTTTACAATTCATAACACATATATTTGCTGTTCATTTTTCCACCTAAAGAGATGAGATGAGATAGAATCTTATATATAGTTTACCCACGCCTTAGCTGTCTTTAAGTTATGAAAAGGGTAGAAATAAATAAATAAATATTTTCTTTCTATACAATAATCTAATCATGTATTTGTATTTTTTATAAAACGTCCTAGAATCAGTTTATTTTATTCAATTGTCATTTTATATTATGAAAATAAAATCCAGCGAATAGAAAACAATTAGACAATAGAGTAATATGAAGTGTTAATGTATGTATGCACGTTTAATTGATTTCATACATAATTGTGTATTAGCTTAGATGTGACGTCTTTCCGTGAAATAGGTAATCTGTAGCACAGCTAACTCGAATACTAATGTTAAATTGTTAACTTGTTGCGTTTTAGAAATATTTTGTGCTATATAAGGTCCAACTTTATTTGTGGACAAATATTATTAATTACACGGACCTCTTTAGGCTTTTCAGTGTGTGAATATTTTACACAAATTCCTAGCATATATGGTTGAACATGCAATGTCGTTTTTTTTTTAAATCGGTTGTATTGAAATCTTTCAATAATACATTGTAAATTCTACTTTATCAGCATGCAGTTTGTGATTAATTTTGCTACACGTTGAAATGCTTATAGCGGTTCACCCAGGTTATTTTGTTAAGTAATTCACCTAACGAAAACACCTTGTACAAAGTTTCATTGAAAGCGAACAATTTGTATGATGAAGTCGGTTAGATAAATTCAACCATCGAGTTGAGTGAGTGAGTTTGAGCGATACTTTGGGATCAAATTACAATCATTAGAAAATATTGCACATATTCGTGGAGTACACATTAATCTAAACAAACTTGTAATTTTAAATAGAAAACTGTCATGAAACTCAGACTTATTAACTAAACTAACAGATACCTCACGTATTTAAGTCGAAATTTTGCTCGATATCTTTCGAACCAGTCCGTGGTCCTTATTCATGAGATCCCGCGGCGATGATTTTACAGAAACTGCGCGACAAGGCTCTGACAGCCCGATCACTCGGCACCGTCGTTTGCTTCATTTTTATTATAGTCATACGCAGGATTGCACACTACACTAACAACGTCACTATCTAAAGTCTCGTTCGAAACATGTCAACCAAAAATAAAAACTGACTGAATACGCGAGTTATTCGTTAGTTTAGTTAAGTAATTTTTTTAAACAACATTATTGAGAGCTATGTAAATGAATTAAGGTACGATTTTTTTATGCTGGGTTCCCATGGTCAACGGTCAAGCGAGTTTGCGCTAACATACCGTGGAAAGAGTGCCGCCCGTACACATCGACGCGGTGCGGCCCGTGATACCACAGGCCGTGGGAGACCGGTTTTGAGTCCAGTGGATCTGTCATTATCGGTATAAATAAAAAAGGGCAGACAATTTCGTTTCAGAAAGTCTACCACGAAATACGATACTATGTGACTGCGGCCGCAACGAAGCCAGCATACGTACTACACAAATCGCACCCCTCATGGAAGAATGGCATAAGCGACGTTACGTCAAAAATGTTTAAGTACTCCATTGGATAGAGAAAAATATAATCCACATCCTCTTCTATTCTTGTAACTTTATCAACAATATTAGTCGATAGAGTTACAAAAATTGGAGAGGGTATGGGTATATTTTTGTGGGAGTAATAAACATTTTTGACGTAACTTCACCTATGCCTTTCTTCCATGAAGGGTGCGAAATGTCAGTTTTAGGATGAAAGTAATGTCAAAATTCGATACGATAGTTGTCATTTGACGTTTCGGAGTAACGTATCCACAAATACTTATGTCAAATCACGATCGATGCTTCGTATTTCATGGTAGACCTCCAGTTTAGAGCTGTCGAATTAGTCGATGCCCGTAGAAGTCCTAAACATCAAAATTGGACAGTTCTAAGCTGACATTAAACCTTTGTTTAAATTAACAGTTTTGACAGTCGCTAGCGACCGTGTGATATACTTAACAGTTTTGGTTTGCAAATTGTACAGCGCCCCTAGCGATCACTCGAACAACTAAACATTTATATACAAATAGTTTTTTCGTGTCCAGTAGCGATTATCAACGCATACGTAAACGCAAATGTAATCTCATATTGCCATTATCTTACTGCTAACGAGAAATAGTTACTCTGAAATTAAGTTTAATTTGCGTTAATCCGAATTGACATCAATGCACATTATGAAAATTTAGTTGTCCACCAATTTAGAACCGTCTTTAATGTTCTTTAAATTGGTAATAGAAGCTTATACAATTCAATGCCATAAGTTTAAGAATGATATTAGTACAATAGTATACATTTGAGTACATAAAGAACACATTACCTTATTTTTTGCTTAAGAAAACTCGAATAGACACGTCTTGTCACTAAGTATATAATAAGAGGTGATAAGAATGCTTATATAGCACGAAATAGTTTCTAAAGACGTTGACATAAAGATAAATTCGTATCTACGCTTTTGTCAATGATTGAATTATAATGTTGAGATAAATATTTCAATAGTCTAGTTTTTCGGCGGATGTACGCTTAGACTTTCAATATTTTATATACAGTTGAGGAATGTCGTTCAAAATGAAGGAATGCTAATAATTTCTACGAAAACATTGTACGGCATCTTTCTGTTTTTCTAGTTGACATAAGAGAGATCCTACTTAATGTTTTCCTTGAGATTCTAGTCTTGATTAAAAAATGAAGTTCACTAATAAAATTCTAGTGTCTCTGAAAACAAATGGTGAATTTATAACGTGAAAAAAGATTAAAAATTATTATCATTTGATTCCTATCAGTACTCGCGAAATGAAGTGTATCAAACGTCCATTTACTAATTAGTTTAATTCCTCCACTGTATATTATTTAGATATTTTTATCTGAAGCCTATTGTATGTGTGTTATGTGACCTAGTTAAAAAGGTTTCCCTCGTTGGAACTTTCGTAACTTGGTCGTTTTGTGTAGGGATCAGTGAGACATTATTGTGTATCGGTAACGTTTTTATACTTCGGTGCCAATTTTGTTATGCGATTCGTATTTTTTCTAGTGGAAGAATTAGTAAAATTGATGTATTTAATTTTTCGAAGCGCTTGTTTGTTTTTATAATATGTTTTTCTGTTTGTATAACATCATTTTTAGATTTTAGTTAAAATATAAACCCTTTTCACGTCAATTATAGGAATATTACTGTGACTTGAGGAAAAAAATGTTCTTCCACATGTTATTACGAATTGCATTATTGTAGTAAACTATTATTATTTGGAACTGTAATCGGCCGGGTTTGTAATATATCTTAACAAAATATTGTACCAAAAAAAGACAAAAGTTATTTTTGATACTTAATTATTTAAACACTGCCTCCGATGACGTCACTCAAGTGCAATATGATAAAATAAACGTGATGTAACGATATCATTGACATAGAGGTCGTTGTATTAAAATATGGTTTTTGTAATGCAATATTGATGACTGCTTTAACGAAATCTTTAATTCTAGTTTTAAGATTAATAAGTGAATGGGGGAAGGTCGTAATTTGAGCAAGATCTTTTTAATTATTATTTTGGTGAGATTTTTCTTTTGTATTTTTAAAAATAAAATTTGTAAGTGTAGAATGTGTCACATACATAGAGAATCGGAGTTTAAGGTCGCTCTAGAGAGATTAACAGATTTGTCTCCTCCGCACGTGCCTCGGGGTGATTGAACTCGGCAAGTCTCACTGATCGGTAGGTGTGTATGGTTATAGGTATTAGTCGGCGTCAAATTGGCATAGAATAATCGGCGCGTTGTCGGCGTTGGCGGCGTTCGGGCCACGGCGAACAAACCAGCGGCGGCGGACTTAGGTTAGTGTAGCATCTTGTGTCCCAACAAACTTCTCAGCGAGACAAATCCCTTCCAATAACACTATGAAATGTCTGTCGGTGTACGTAAGAAAGTTGTGTGTAGCCTTAGTTGTAAGTCCTTGAGTTTTGTACGGTCTGTACTGCGCGCATCGCCGCCGGACATCTCCCCTAGATGTAAGTAGATTATTCGTGACGATTGTGACCCTCCCTAAGAAATATATCATTTTGTTGAACTGAAATATGCTTCCAATGAAATAAGTTTTCATAATATTGTTAACAAATTGAGTATTGTGTCTATAATATTTCTGATTTACTCGTAAAACTTTCACAAATTTTATCATTAGTTCTAAGATTCGATTTAATAAAAAGATTCAGTATTCTCGTCGTCTAATTCTAAATTGATGAACGATGTTAGATGCATTTTATTTTTTAGTTGTAGTAAGTTTTGTAATATTTCGGGAGGTGTCTTACGGCGAGCCGCATCTGTTCGTTAGATATAGCGGGTAGCATACTGACTTAGTACAAATGTACGTGTGTTTGTGTGTATGTCATGACTTGGGCGTGGCGCACGTCACTGGACGAGCTCTGATTGGTCGATACATGACAATTGCATGCGACGTTGCCGCTCTTGCATTCAGACAAAATCCCGCAGTTGTGAGACTATTTCATTATTTACACTTCCTATCCTTATTAAGTGTTACTGTTTGTTCTTCAGATATGCCATTCATTACGAAGACTTGTGATTAGTAAATCTACGTTTAAGTTATGTTCAGTATGTTACGTTTTCTTTAATGGAACGTTCTAGAGAACAACTATGTTAACATTTCTTTTGAACCACTTCCCTCGACGCGAGTCTGCAAGAGGTATCAGAGAGCTATGTACACCTAGTCGTAGACTGATGAGGTTGATGCATCGCACATTTCGTCTACCAGTTTTCTCTCTCGTTTACACTTTTCGATGAACTTGTTAAAATAAGTGAGATAGAGACTATTTCGGCTGTAAGAATATTACATTTTTAATAAAATCTTATTTGCTATAAAAATATAGAGGTGTTTCATAGAAAGTCTTATGTAATAGTTCTAAAATGCTATGTTGTACAACGATAAGATTCGAGCGTGAAATGGTTTTTATAGTATTGCAAAATTTAAAGAAAAGTGCAAATACATCGTAGTATTGTAATATTAATGTACTTCATCCATTAATCGTAACGCTCCATTAAATAACATTATGTCTTGTTTTGCTTTTATATAAGTAAAAGACAGTATTATTGCTACTACTTGACCTAGAAACGACATTTCGACGGACGCGTGTGGCTCTGCTATATTACAGCTCTATACTAATTTATGACAATGACTCTACACACTACATAATTCAAATTTAGAATGGTCCGTCGCTCTCAACCTCGACGTGAAAAGATACAAACTGTTTCCCTTACTAATTGTGTTTTTGTGTGGACAAACTCAAGACCGATTAGTTTGTATTGACCACAAAGTGGAAACGACGTAGTGCGATGCATGAATCTTGAACACGGAGTCCTCTTTGTGACGCGTTAGTTCTCTCATCAGTGTAACTAGTGATATTTAACAAATGGTTTATATTATTATTATCACATACATACAAAATTTCGGACCACTGCATAGTTGTATCTAAGCTTATTTTGTCTCCCCATCGGAATTTATTTATATGGAATAATTATTAATTTTGGATATTTTTTATTCAATATAAATATTATGTATATCAAACGATAGGTGCTGTTGTATTTAATTTTTAATATTACTAACGCGATTGTGATAGGAATACGTCTCTCTTGTAATCAATCGGATGAATTGTGAAAAATTTTAAGCCAAATCATGAATAAGGGTATATTTGAATTATTACTTTTAGGATAAATGGGGTTAAATGAAGTTTTATACGAATCAAATTTTACTACTGACGCTGTATAATTTTTCTAAGTACACATAGATTTTAAAATCATATCATAAAGATCTTGTTCTAGTGCTCGTTTAAACTAAAGTAGGGTTATAGGAGAGGAGGGGTGTTTGCGTGAACGGGCGGGAGAAGTATTCGCCTTACAAAGCACAAAGTGTGGTATCGTTAACTAATTGTACTTAGCTGTTATCTTCACCGCATTCTCCCTTCCTCGCTTGTCTACGATCTACATTTTCGATGTGAAATCGAACTTTATTAAAATGCAGATTGGACTTCAAATTGATACATTCAAACTTCGAAATTTCTTAAAAAACTTTAGTGAGTATTTTTGCATTTATAATGTTGTCGTAACTAGTTTCACTCAGTTTTTTAAAGCATAATAATAAATAGATCTACGATCACCAAGCCACGGAACAATAGCTTACCTATAGTTTTAAATTGCCAGTTTTCTTACGAGTATACTGTTAAAGTTTGGCTTTCTCGAATTTAGCTATATATTGAGTTATACTTACGTGCAGGCGTTAAGTTGTTTGAGTTAAATAGCAAGTACATACATAAAAAGCGGAGTAAAAAGACTCGCGTCGCAGTATTCAGGTCAGCCAACAGAACACAATACGATGCGTAAGTATCGCTTACGGATAATGCGAGCTTTATTGTAACAAGTTTATCTTATTTGTGGTAGAACATTATATGATCTCTTTATTTTTAATAGAATTTTGATGGACATTTTTACTTAATAGTTTTAGCAGTGTGTAGTATTGAAATAGTAGTTTTTATTATCGCACATTACGTTTGTTATTCACTGTACATTAATTCATTTTTTACATAACTTACTGATGCCAGCCGAAATTGTGAATTTCATTCAATTCTGCCGTACCGTCACTGCCCGGCCGTCACCTTCAATATCGACGGTTCAAAGGCAAAATGGACACTAGGCTTAAAAATGAATTATACCTATAAACTTCGTAGAAGGTAACGAGTAAATTTTCTGAAAAGTTAAACGGCATGCGATGGGTATGTCGCTTATTTCGTTTTAACTTACAACCGGTGATATTGTTTCAAGCCGGTACACTGTTATTCCTTGTGGAATAAAGATTTTTATTTGTATATTATTGTATTATATTTCCACTTCATTGTATTTGTAAATATTACTGTGATTTTGTCAATCTGGATTTATTTTGCCACGTTTCATCGCGGAGATAGCGTGGGCAGTTGCGGCGCGGCCGATTGTGTTTCTTACCTTTTGGATGTCGAATGACAATTCGAATTAACCATGAGAAGCCTTCGTGTTGTCTGTACATTTAATTTGTAAATATGTAATCTCGATAACGATTGATGCTAAACAACGAGCGAGCCGTCGCATTTGTGAGCCGTTTGGACTTCTGCGCACATTGTCATCAGGATACGTCACCATGAAACCAGGCATGGAACATAGTGTAGCCTCATAAGGTGTATCTCGACAGACATTCCACAGGCCCTATCGAATTAGCTCAATACTGAAGACTGTTTGAGACTTTAAAAAACAAATAATATCATGATAATGAAAAAATATTTTCTTAACCACCTTAACGACTTTACAAAATGTGTATGGTGATTTAATGATAAGCTCGCTATGTTTAACTCACTAGTATATAATGACAAATGCTTTATGTCACTGTGATAGACAATACAAATTTACCTGAGAGAGACACCAAGCATAGGCATGTATAAGAAATTTACGAAATTGTCTTATAAGAATGAAATGTTACATAGTTACTCTCAGTGTAACTGGCGGCGCTCGGTTTTGTGATATAACGGATGACCATATTAATATTGACTTTTCAAACCTCTCAACAAATTCTCTTTTTTCTTGCCAAGCTAACACGGAATACTCATAACTGACGTTGGGTCTTGTTCGTCCAAGTACAAGATCCGTATTTACTAATGCCAAAACTGTGCGCTGTCAGGGAATAAATTGAATGTAAATTAAAGTACAAAAGTATGTGCAGAAGTTGCCGCGGCTCGGTCGGTGCGTGAGCGTGTGAATTGCGTGTGTGAGAGCGGCCGCGTGGCCCGCCTCTCGCTGTTCAGTTTGTTGACACATTATGTATAATTGAATGAATCAAATTATAAGAGAATATGAATTTTACACAAGCCTTTTATTCATCATTGTTTCCTTTCATCCTTTTCCTAGTTAGGTGAAACCAGTGTTGCCAGATGGTTACATTTCTTACATTTTTCGTAACTTTTGACCATCGAGTATATAACCAGAAATAGAGACGAAATAAGCGCCATATATTCCTGGTAACACATTAGCGATACAGCTCTTATAAATATCAACTCTTGTTTGCACTGAAATATAGACAGGCCAACCACTGACCTGTGTGTACGTCTCCGCATATTCCAAAAAATATTCTGTATTTATTGTAATACAGACAATATCTCTAACAATGCCGTGCTGTCCTATTTGGTGGTGTGGGAAAAACAGCAAAACATCTAATTACAAAACAAACGGAATCACATTTCATCGGTAATTTTGCAATTTTCGTCCATTATAGCAAAACTCAAGTTAACTGATCAATTTGAAGTGAAACAGTTGACACCCGTCAATTGTTTCGAACTCGGGCTAACCAATCGGAGCACAGTTGTCACTGTAATGACAGGGCAGAATAGTTTTCAAACAAATTAAATGACATTTCGTCTCTATTTCTGGTTATATACTCGATGCTTTTGACATTCTTGCGTAATTTGTAAGTTTTGTTTATAAGGCAATTTTCGTAACCTTAAGTAAAGAGCAAATTAGGCTATGCAAACGCAGCCAGATTAAACAATAAAGTAACACAGTTGGGGGAAATACAAAATGAAATCTATAAATTACTGGTTAAAGCTCAATTTTTCTTGAGCGTATCAACTATAAGGATTTAGGCGTATTTAGATACATATCGTTAATATTTGGATGTAAGTATGGTTTGCAGCACAAATGTAACTTTTTAAGTGACGAAACGCAACTTTCGACTCTGCAATAACTTAAAAAAAATGCAATGTTTTATATTCTCTTCATCGACGAAAAAGAGCATTTCACATTACAATTAATGTGAAATGAGGATGGCCTCTTTTGTATTCGGCTCTCATGTTTTAGTGCGTTATGACAATCAGCGAAAACAACAGTGCATAAGTTGATAGGTCAATGGTGCATAATAGATAGCATTATCCCGAATATATTCGAGAATAGTAATAACACACACACAACATAGGGTAACCCTGTGTCGCAAGTGCCATGGACACACACGCACGCACACACACACGCACGCACACACACACGCACGTACGCACACACACACGCACGCACACGCACACACACTGAACTGAATCGAACCTGGGACAATTCCTAAATTATTAAACCTACTACATCAAATACTGTTGAAATTTCTTACTCATTGCTTTTTTTTGCACAGCACAACTGCATCAGAACCTTAACAAACAAAAAGAAACACCATTTTATTAATTTAACATTTAATAAAATATCCTATTTACACTACACAATCTATTACAAATCTAGATATACTTGAATACAACGTCTTTGAAGCTGTCAACTGTCTGTAGCTCCAAAGTTACAGGGCATTGGAGCCAGTTGGCTAAAAGTTCTTCCGTATAGCCTAGGAGAAAATACATCTTGCTGGGAGATACTGCTCTTCTAATGATCGCTGCCACTCTTATGTGGTTGAACTGACGTTTAATTATTACCTGTAAAAGATATGGTTTATGTGCAACGCCTTCTGGAAATTCAGTAATAGCTAAAATTCGGGAGTTTTCAATTATGCGTGCCTTACTCCAGCATCGTGTAGTAGAGTCAGCCGCCGTTTTGAAGTGTTAGGGTGTTTTACTAAATTTATGTTTTTGCGACTGAAACCATAGTCACACCATAATACCTTAAAAGTTAATTTTTAATAAGCGAAAGATACACAGTACTAGTATTAACACCACTCAAAAAAATTTATTGCCGTGACGAGAGCGAAGTGCAAGCAAGTCAGAACCCGTTACAAAATATTTCTGAATTAAATTTTTATATTTCGCAGTTTATTTATTTTTAGATATTGTTTTCCTTGTGTGTAGAAATATATAGTATATATCTCTATAGTAAATGTTTGCGTACAGTCAAGAGCATGTGGCTTGACACTTTGTACTTTGGACCATTCTTATCATCAGCGGCATAAAGTTGGGTTTTAAATCTTAAGTATCAAGATTGACGTGCTCTTGACTCTGTACCTTATTCCAGTATGACCATAGTCGAGTTTTAGAAAGACTAGCCAGATAAAAACCAAACAGGAGGGACTAAATCTACAATTTCTGGACTAGAACCGACTAATTCATGGCTTTTTCTGTGTGCAAACAGATCTAAGCTAGGAGCTGTGGTTCTGGAGCTTCCGAAACGGTGCCGCCAGAATAAGCTTGTTCCACAGCAAAGCACCTTAATAACTACAAAACGGCGTAACGACTAACTCTAGTTGTTTACGACAAGAACTGACTATTATAAATCACAACTTTTTTTAGTGTACTCAGATCTACGCCAGGTGTTACAGTTCTCGAGATAGAGAAATGATGCTGTTGGAATAAGATTATTCTAGTGCGGACAGTAAAACGCCCTTATAATTATTGAATGGCAGATTGACTAAATCTAGTTTTATTTCAACTAGAACTGGCTAATCAAATATCAAAAATTCGACCATGGTCATGCTGGAATAAGGCACACAAAATGTTTGATTGTTTAGAAAGCTTAGCATGAAGTTGGGCTTAGGCGTCTATGTAATTGAAAATATAGAATTTGAAAGGAAATTGACAATTTGGTTAATAAATGTCGTAATAGTAGCAAATGTTGTTTGTTTGGAGAGTGGTTACACTATCCTGTCAAAAACAATAGACACAGAAAATTTATACAGTTGTTGGCAAGCAGTAAAAGTGTAGCTGGATTTGCTATATTTCTTGGCACCAAAAGTAATGACTAAATGATGATACTTCCCAAGTTAACTTTCTTATACTACAAAAAACCAATTACTTTACCTCACTGCAAACTAGGCCATGCCAAGTACCACCCATAAATCTTCTAATAAACTCATCCTCAACAGCGGTTTCTGATCTCCGCAGACCACCCTTCAGATTTGCTGCAAAGATAGTCCTTTTAACATTTATGTAACAAACACCACATCAATCAACATTACACTGTCCTCAAAGTAACTTGTCTTGAGGGGATTCACATGATTCTAATGGGTTTTACGGTACGTTAAATTTGTTTTGTGACATAGGTATAAAGTATATTTTAATTTTACATAATAAAATTACATACATGTGTTCCACGAGTTCCAGGACTTGCGATGTGCGATGTAATGTGGTGGATTGGCCATCTCATACGTGAGCGGACGGTCGCGTTTTTTCGTTATCCTGTACTTGCCGGACACCACCCGGCACAATGCTGCTGAAGTGTGCAGGTGTGAGGTCAGTTTTGGCGACAACTGTGGCAGAATTCCAGCACATACCTTAGCCTGTAAAAATAACCAACAGCATATTTCAGAAACCATTGCCTCAAAAAGATATAACTTACAGTTTTTATGTTACCTGTGCTAATTTATTAATTGATGAATACATTTTTCAAATTACTTAGGTTATTTATTAATTTTTTGCGCAAACGGCGATTTCAATTCAATTAAATTTTTGTGCGTTATACTTCATCCATACTATCGATTTATTATTCCGACAATGACAATTTTCTTTTATAATTACGAATTAAATTCCTCATTTCTCGCACTCCAACAACGTTACAAAGAGAAATGTCAAAATGAATGAATTGTCTAGTCAATTGTCAAATTTTGCGTTCGAATACTCAACTGTGTAAAGAGAGTACGAACATGACTAAACTGTCAATTTTCCCGTTTATGTTTCTTCTCAATATTGTATTGCGTAATTTTAAAAAGCAATAAACGCTGTTAAAATAAATGCATTAAATTGTATTCTTGATACGTACTTGTGTAACATACAAATTTAATATACTTAAACAATAAAAATACATACCTCTCTACATAAAAATTAAAGTATACATTTTTATAGGTACTATAAAAATGTCGGTCACCAAGAATGGCATATTCAACTTATTTGTAAGTAAACAAAAATAATTGAATGCGCAAATGACATCATTAAGTACTTGTTTTACGATAAAGATAATTTATTTTTTATTACTTTCGTCCCAACATTTATTAATTAATTTTCAATACCTACTGTAATAAAATTTCATTAAAGTATTATTGCTAATTACTGCTTTTGCATAATGATAAAAGATTATGTAAGACTGAACAAACGTCTTTGCAAAACGTCGCGAAAGATTCACTGCAGGACGTGAAGAAATGAAATTTTGGATTGTGTTATGCTCTGCATTGTATATAACCACGAAACTAGGTGAGCAATTCATTTCATAACAAAAATGAATGATTCTGGTACTATATTTCTTATGGACTACGAAGATGTGTTATTTAAGGAGATATACAGTTTAGTAGATAATCGCGGGGTACATTGTTGGTAAATAAAAATAAAAATTCAAATTTGAAAGTTTACGTATCTACTAACTCTCTAAATTGCTTTTTTCTAGTAATATGCAAAAGAAGTCCTCTTATGAATAGTGCACTTAAGAAAGCATGCGATATCGTTACGTACACCTTATTTGAAGCCTCAGATTTAAAAGAAAAGGCAGAAGTTCTCAGAAATGTAGAGGAAAAATGGAATATTTTTTCTCCTACAGAGGAAATAAATAATGACTTTATGAACCTTGTAATACATGCAATAAAAAGCATGGTTTCAAGAGATGACTACAGACTTTGTACAGATATATCCGACATGGCTAAAGATGCTTTACTAAAAATGTTTAATCTAACCGAGCCTTCAACAACCAAGGCCCCTGAATCAAAACCGAGCATGAACGACGAAAAGAAAAAAAATATGTTAAGGGAAACTATACACAAAATAGACGCACTGGTTAGTAAGGCTTTACAAAAATCAAAAAGTGACGATGACAAACAAAAGATAATAGATTTTATTAAAAAAAGAATCGAAAACGCGTTTCAGCCAAAAGGAAAACCAAACGAGGCTAATTTGTATGCAAGAATAATTTCTGAGATTATAGATATGATGGTGAATAAAAGCACCCAACGTCCTGTAAAGGCAAAATACAGAAGCCTTGATGAAGCTGCACCAACAGACGTATGGCGAAAAAGGAATGAAGCCGCCCTAGGAGGAATTCAAAACCTCGTGCATAATCCATCGCAGTCAAAACTGATACCATCATCAAAGGTTAAACCAACACTGGAAAATGATATTCACAACAGCGGAAAAGACATAGTGGACAATAATTTAGGCGAGATAATTACTCCTGGTCCCTTCATAGGTCTGACGAAAGAGTACGATTGTCGTGAGATAGTATCACAAATGTGCATGAAGCTGAGAAATGTTAGTGAATTTAAATGTGAATCGGATGATGAAGTCGTAGGAATACAGCAGTTTTGCGACGGTACAGTTGATTGCGCGGACGGGTCTGACGAAATAAATTGCGCAATACATGGTACGGATTGATTTCAATTTATCCTTTCATCAGTGACCAATAGGAGTTCAAAAGAAAGAAACCTAAGTCGGTGTTTTTAAAGTAGCCATATCTATTTACTGTCCAATCGTTACCTTTAATCCAGGAACATCTATCAAATGACATAAGAAATAAATGTAGGCAATACAAATATTTCTTCCGGCCCAGGAATCGAACCTGGAACCTCTGCGTGGCAGTCCGGCATGGTACCGTTCGTCCACAGAGGAAGGTATGGCCTCCGGTAGGAGTTGGCGTCAGCGCGGTACGACATCCCATATAGGCCCTGTTCACTGACTACTGTGCATCCTATGAGCTGGCATCCTTTCGGGATGTCTGAGCCAAAAGAAAAAAGTCTTGCCGACTTGATTTCTCCGATAATGTTGGGCTCAGACACAATGTTCTCCAATTTGGGTTGTTTCGGATCCGCCAATTACCAATTTCCTTTTGCGTTGGTCCCAAAATCTTACGGAAATTTTTTTTTCGGCGACATGAAGTTTATTCCCTTCAGAGTCAGCGTCCAAACTTTACACCCATGCACAAAAATCGGTCGTATGACAAACATAATTAACTACGTTGTCCTAATTCAGATCTCTTTTTAGTTCATTTTAGTAAAATTGTACGCTTCATTTCCATTTTACATTTTACATTTTTTTCATCATATTCATTTTACGCTTTCAGCCGTGAATAGAATTCAAGCTGCTACACAAATAGTCGCGGAAATAGACCTAGCGAAAAATTGTTTTGATAACGCGATCAGTAGTTCAATGTTGCCGCAGCAAGGCGCTATCCTGTCACAACTACTGCAAAAGCAAGTAGCTTTTATCGAAAAATACACAAACGATTCCAAGAGTCGTACATTTTTAAAAACATCGTCTTATAATGATATACTAGAGGTTGTTACCGAAGTTGTGGCGATCATCAAAAGTTTCAGCCTCTCTTTGAACACTGCACTCTGTATTGACGTAAACAAAGAAGTAGATAAAATGATAAGTGAAGGAGAATCGCTTCTCGATGCTGAAACAACTTCCATTAGAAATGTCCACGAGATGCTTGGAGAATGCGATTGCAATAATCATGTTTGCTTAAAATCTACTTGCCCTGCGGTCTGTAAACGCATTTGTTACCAAACTTACTCATTATCGAGATGGGCTTGCAAACCTGTCAAGGAAGGTGCCGCAGGTGTGAGTCTTGACGACATTTGCGATGGAAAAAATGATTGTTATGATAAAACCGATGAGAGCAATTGCGTTTCAGGTGAGTGAACACTATGTACGGTCGCCTGTAGTAGATGTACATATTTGTACGTCGATGTAGCGAACATCAACCAATTGCCCTTGAACTTTAATAACTGCAATATGAACTATTAGTTGTGCAAAATATTTTACGATTTCACCGTATTTTCACAATATTTCACACGAAAATCGAACTTTAATTTCAATATGTGATTATTGCAGTCGGGCGACTGTAACTGACTGTGACTGTGAGATAACTAAATACCTACTCAGTATAAATGAGAAAAGAGTGTATTATATTTTTATTTAATTATTGGTCTTTGTGATAGGCGTGATAGTATTGCATTCTGTTATTTTTAATTTTGTACTCATCATTCATCACTAGTCAATTTTAATTTTAATTCTTTTTCAGTATTAATTTTATGATTAATGACATTCTCAATTCTTCTTCAACACTGGTTGGTCTGTGGGTTGCTATACGCAGAAAGCACTCAACGTCCTATGTGTTCAATATAATAGCGGTTTCAGGCTGCTGTGGGGACTACCGCGGCATTCTAGCGCATCCTCCGTGTTTACTGAAGTGAGAGTAATGCGAGAAAGTCCTATGTTTAAGCTCTAACAGTATCCTGAAAATGTTTGCAGCTTAGCGTGACGCCAATGCTTCGTCATTTCATCCAGGTTCTGGTGAAGTGAAGAGGCAACCGGTTCCTCAAGTATTACGATGGTCATATTTGTGTTTTTTTCCTTATTTACCTACCTACTAAAAATAGTCTTAAGATTAAATTTATTTGTGTTACGTAATAACAATGATATTTGGGCCGACCAAGCGGTCATCGACTACTAGGACGTCACACGTAGGTCCTGTTCAACGACTAGGTACTGTGCATCCTTTCCAGATGTCCGCTAACGAAGTCTTGCTGACTTGATTTCTCCGATAATATGGGCTCAGACACGATGCCCTTCAGCTCCGGTTTTTTCAACGATAGTCTTATGTTTAAATTTATTTGTTCGTACTAACAATGGATGTATGTTACAGATGATTTTGAAGCAAACTTCATATTCGAAGAGATTCTCAAAGCAACTAAAACATATTCTATGTCTAAAAATTTTGAAACTGTTCGAAGTAGACTAATTTCTTTGCACTCTGCTGTCCGCCAACTTCAAAAACATAGCAAGGGTCTTAACGATAACAATGCGATTTATAAAATGGAAAGGGATAACATTTTTTCAATGTTAAGCGATATCTATTTGGATATTGTAGAGGAGTTTAATGACATGGACCGCGCAGAAGAAGCATTTGTATTGCTTGTTTCACTAAATGAGAAGTTGGTACGTGCTTTGAAGCGATCTTACACAGGAAATGAGAAACCACGGACAATTGCCGAAGTTTGTACTTGCCGGAATAAAAAGTGCACTCAATCGAACTGCACAAGGGAATGTGTTAGGTTGTGTTTCGTGAGAGATCTTTTAACTACATATCCATGTAGTAATAGTAGTGGTAATCATTCCGTATATATTGATATTATCTGTAACGGTAAAGTCCAGTGTCCAAAAGGAGAAGATGAAGAAAATTGTGGAAAAGGTAAGGTGAACTCACAAATAATATTTGCGATTGATGGGGTCACAACCAAATATTTGGAATTAATGAAACATGCTTTTAGTAGCGATAGAGCACCTTGTGAAGGAGTTCGTTTAGGGATGTACTGCCACCTTACCTATTTGTGCTGCCAAGCGGTAATGTGAGCAAATTGCTTTCCTATTTTGAAGGGTGGGTGCTGGTGAAATTACTACAGGTTGTCAAGTTATGTCTCAAGGTGACAGGCGCAGTTGCAGTGCCCCTTAGATCTTTGCGATTTATAACGGCACTGCGACTGCTATGGACAGGCGCATGGTGGGCGCGTCGCTTACCTTCAGACGCACGACTTGTTCGTCTCGTCACTTGCTAACATAAAAAAGTAATTCTTTATTGCACATTAAAACATCAAGTGCCTCTGTGGCCGGATGGTTACCATGCCACGCAGACGTCTCAGGTTCGATTCCCGGGCCGGGAGAAATATTTGTATGGCCTACATTTGTTTCTTTCGTGAGTTTGGGTGTAATTTGTGGTTGTCTATGTGTGTGTCCATGGCACTCATGACGCAGGGTTTCCCTAGTGCTGAGCTATGTTGAGTGTGTGCGTTTTTATTACAATGACAACGCAGAATAAGGCGGCCTTATTGCTAAGTAGCAATTTCTTCCAGGCCTTACCCAACCTTAAGGTGCTCCAGAAATGGCTCGCGAGCTGCACACGTGCATTGCGTAGTGCGAAACATGATGCAAACCTTGCGTGAGATGTAATTATAGAGGTTCACTCAAAACTTGCGCGCATAGAAGTATTTCAAACAAATAAATTCGAATTCGAGTGCAAATTAAATTTCACACCTGTGTCGTTGTTTCTTCCAGTTTTTATTTTTCGTACAGAAGTCACTCATCACCCCTTTCATGTGTATTCCAGAAATTTGCCGCCGGCACCACCTTGTAGTGTTGCGTCATAAATTGCAAACTGAACTCGACAAATACAAATACACAGCACTAGAAGGTGTACTTGAATCTTGGAAACGAATGGTAAGATATATTTACTTTATACAGTATTAAAGCCTATGCACACGCGTATTTTATACGCGCGCGCGTCAACGACGCATTTACGGCGCCATGGAGGCTCAAAAGGGAGAATGTCGCGTTTGTATCAATTGAAATTGAATTTATGAACGTAAATGGTTCAAAGAAAAAATCTTCGGATTCCAGTTCGAAATCTCTAAAAAGAAAGATAGGTAGCTAACAATATATTTAACCAAATTAAAGACTATGGCAGTAACACGATGTATGAGTAACTCCGGTTTTAGAATCAAAAGAAGTTGTAGGAATGACGAATATGGCATCCGATAACAGTTAACAAATTTTTCATATTATACTAAGATTATACTCTATGTTTTACCAATTTTTTAAAAATTGTTTTTATTTATTTATTTATTAAACTTTATTGACCACAATACAAAGGGTACAAAAGGCGGACTTAATGCTAAAAGCATTCTCTACCAGTCAACCTCTGAGAAAAACGAAATTCACGAACGCGGTAAATAAACAGAATATTACGGTTATATTAAAATAAATGAAACAAATTCATAATTATATATATAACAAACTAACCTAATACCTTACTTAATAATATAATACATACACTTACATACATACAAATATACTATACATATACAAAATACTTACAATAACAGAATATGATGATGATTATTGCTGTGACAAACAATTTAGAAGATGCTCATGAACATTATTTTTTAAAGAAAATATATTAGGAGACCGTCTGATGGCGTCCGGTAGAGCGTTCCAGAGCCGTATCGAGTGGAGAGTAAAAGAATCTGACATGAAGCCAGAATGAAAGAGAGGTACAGTGAGTGATAGTGAATTCATGGAACGAAGTGGGAGGTCATGAGAGTCACAGAGATACTGAAATTTACATTTCAAGTATTCTGGATAGTGGGGATTGAAAAGAACGGAGTACAACGTACAGAGAATTCTTTTCAGTCTGCGTTGACGAATAGGGAGCCATTTAAGTTGAGACCTAAAAGAAGAAACATGATCAAATTTCCGAAGGCAGAAAATGAAACGAATAGCATTATTGAGCAGGCGGTCCAACTTGTCTAATAGATTTTCGTTGAGATCAGGATAACAGACATCAGCATAATCAATGAGTGGGAATATAAGGGAGGTGACGAGCAGGGTCTTAGTACTAATGGGAAGAAAATGTCGAAAGCGGTTTAGAAAACGTAAAGAAGAAGTAACCCTACGACTAACCTCGGACACCTGTAAGGTCCAGCTTAGTGAGGAGTCAATGTAAAGACCAAGGTTTTTTACACTACAACTGAATGGAACAGACGAGTTCTCATAAACTACTTGAATGAGCGAAGTATGGTCAATCTTGGATATCTGTTTAGATCCACCTAAAATAATTGCTTGACACTTGAAAGGATTAACAGATATCCCAAAATTAGTTGACCACGCACTAACACTTTGTAAATCGCTGTTAATGTCAGAAATCGCTGAATTAATGTCCTCGGCAGATGCCTGCGCGTAAATCTGCAAGTCATCAGCATAAAAGTGGTAAGAGCAGCTAAGTGAGAAAGAAAGAAAATTAATAAAAAGTGAAAATAAAAGCGGTGACAAGATTCCGCCCTGCGGAACACCAGCTGCCAAGTCACGCCAATCGGAGACTTTAGGACCCACGCGAACAGCTTGTTGACGATCACGAAGGTAGGACGAGAACCAGTCTAGTGATAATGGGGAGAAGTTAAGCGACTTCAGGATGGCAAGCAGAATGTCGTGGTCTACCATGTTAAAAGCATTGGAAAAGTCGACGAGAACTATAGCAGTGACCAACTGCTTCTCCATTTTTAAATGACCATGTAGTATTCGTTCGCTCGTAAATGGATCTATCCAATAGGGTCGGTTTTTTTTTTAAAAGCAGTGATAAAGCCAGCATAAGCAGTGTTGTCTCAACCTACGCCATGTACGGACAATGGCACATCAGACTTACACATTTTTGTTCGAAAATCGCCTCCAGTGCAACGGAACAAGATACGTCAATGTATAGCTTGACGTGCTGGCGTGGTACAATGATGTCGGTTGAGACAACTGTTGAGGAGTTTCTTATCAAAATGCGCGAGACATGCGCTATAACAGCGCGTCTGCGGCGCGTATGTCCTAATCAAAATATGTTATAGTTTTTTTTACGTGTAGTTTATATGACAAACTTTTATTATGATTAATTATTATTGTTCTGTTTGTTTTCTTGTAATTTAAATTCATGTAAAACTGTTCATGCTAAGTAAATGTTCAATACTTAAAGACATGATTACTTAGAATAATCACAGCAAGTCGGTAATTACTGTCATTATGTTTTTTAAGTAGGTCATACTAATTTAATTATGGTTTAGAAATAAATTATAAACATCATTTGTTAAAAAATATCTATTTAAAGTTTTCATCCTAACAAATAAATTATAGGTACATTATTGGCGCGTTTGTTTATTTAAAGTCACATGTATTCTCTCGCGTGATCTACTCACATTTTTATAAAATAAAACATGTACAAAAATGAACACAATATTTTTTCTTATTGTAGGTAACCATGTTACAAAAAAAACATAAATCTAACAACTTCTGAATCTTGTAAAAAATGAAAGCAAATTAATAGATTAATGCCACCAAACCAAAGGTGTTTTTGGCTGAACATGGAAATTTCAGATGATGTGCAACTGTATTTTTTGTTGCGTAGGGGAGAGTTGGGTATCACCGCGCAGCTGATAATTTCGCGCCTCTGTATATCTCAATAACTACACGCTACTTTAGTTTTAGAGTTTACAGTGCCCCAGTATCATAGCCTGATACATATTTCTCCCCGCATGCACGCTATCATTTCATTCTAAGCGACCATTCAAAGACGATGTGTACTGTAAGTTTTCATACTTATTCAATATAATTTTACGAGTGTTTTTGGTAAGAGGTAAGCATTACATTTTTATTTTAAGTAATTGTTTTAACATATTTGAAAGGTTATAATATTGGAGATATGATTTTCAAAATCATTTCGGAAATATAGTTTGCTTTTTTATGTTATTTTTTTATTTGAAAGCAAATTGACTGTGTTTGACAATTTCGCGCTTAGAGCACGGTGTTATCAGATTTGAGCACGGTAATTGTAAACTATGAAAATCATATTTGGCAAACATGTTGAATGGAAAAAGGACTAGAAAAGAAGAAATGAAGCTAAAGAATAACCTGCTAGGAGGAAAGTTTCGAACAGCAACGTAAACAGTGAGAAGGATAAGTTTGTGGAAAATGCGTACATTAAAAAATGTTGAAATAATAAAGATAAGCAAAAATATCAAAAGGAAAAAGAAAGTTACCAAATATCGAACTAATGTATCGCAAGTTGAGAAGTATTTTTGAAACTGAAGACATAAACATCTTCACTCTCATTTAAAGAGCCACCAAGTCTGCCAGTTCTTTAAAAAATAAGTACAAGGAAGGCAAATGTTATTCACCTATCTATTTGTTTAACTTTATTTATTGTTAACATTTTAGTATTCGATTATCTTGCTGTAAAAGATAAATTCTAAGCTCTTATTAATACACACGAATGTATGGCAACTTAAAAATTTGTTTTTATATTTATATCATTTCTTAGGGAACTGTTTTATAAGACCTGAGCACGATATTATCAGACCAGTTTGACCTCGTTTTCCCATTTTTTGGTAAGTTTGCGACAACCGCCTTTTGTATTTGTTTGTGAAGATTATATTAAACTCTACGTATAGCCAAATAAATTACTTACTTACGACAATAATTTTGTTTTTAATAAGCGAAGCCTGAGCTTAATACAGGCCTTATTGCTTAGGGGCTCGATTAATATCGAGCCCCTGACCCAACTCTCCCCAATTTGTGAACCGATTTATATGATTCTTGTTTTTGTTGGTAGTCCCATTCAAATTTAAAGAAAATAAGGGTTGCATCCGGTTTATTGAATTTCACCCATTTTACGTTAAACGATTTAAATAAAACTTGTATTTCGAAATGACGTTGAGTTTTCATTAGTTATAATCCAAAATAGCACTTAACTTCGTTTGTGTTGAGTGCTCTCGCTGTCGCTCGTCTAATGAGTTCATCAAAATCCAGTTTTGACTGTTCACAGGCATCGAAACGTATTAGTGACGTCGAAAAGTTAGACCGTCTATCTCCTTTGGTGTACAAGATGCTCTTACAGGATATATTAAGGGACTTGGCTGAGACATACGCCAGTAATGAATCGCTCGAAGAGTCCAAAATGGTCAGTAACGAGCGCATACTTAAGAAGTACCACCAACTGGGCGTAAGTATGATGGAGCTGGCTAAAAGTTGTAGTAAGTGAATTAAGGTTTTAATAAACTTTTATTCGACATATATATGTTTCATTGGAAAAATTCATAAGTACAACACTTCGTCGGGAAGTACTGCCACCTAATCTATTTCTGTCGCCAAGCAGTAATGTGAGTGTTACTGCGTTCCGGTTTTGAAGATGTTACGATACTATTGATCGATGCTATTGCGCGGGTCGAGCGGCAATGACGCTGGCTTTATTTCACAATTTATTTTTTTACAAACGAAATAAGCCAATTTGAAAAATGTATATCGTGTACTATATTTGTTCAGTTGATATAAAAAAAATCATTGGTATTATTAGAACATAGCGGTTTTCTTGTAAAATGTCCAGGAAAGTTTGTGATTTTTTTCTAGCGTGAAAATTTTTAGGATTCGTGTTTTTACACCGTATAGTAATCAGTGTGTATAACGAGTCGTGCGCCTGATGGTAAGCTGTAGCTTACCATTAGGCGTGTTTGCCTGTCTATAATACTTGCAGTGCCACTGAGAGGCTTAAAGAGGTACCTACTGCCACTGCACCCGCCACCCTGAGACATGAGTTGACAAGTCCCATATATCTGTAATTTCACCAGCACCCTTACCCTTTAAAACCGGAACGCAGTTATGCTAACGTTACTGCTTGGCCGCAGAAATAGGTAAGGTACTTCCCTGGACAAACTCTTTCACAACGGGCTCTATTGCATAAAAAACAATCACGCGTTTGCATAGCTGCTAAAGTCACCGTCGCACTTAATGAGCTGTAACTACGTCAAAATTTGCGGAACATAAAAAACTGTCTGGAAAATGAATGAAAATTACTTGAAAACACATATATTTCGAAATCGCACTACCACCTAAATAACTTCCAATAGCGAGTTCCAGTCGTTAGTACCAAATCAATTATTAGAAAATGAAACATCAAATTCTAGTTTTCCCGACTAATTTCCTTCGAATGCATATCATTGGATAGTCAGTGCGTTATCTTACTGAGTCACGTTGAATAAAATACACGGTCGCGGCTGCGCGGGTGTCATTTGCCGCCGAGCGACCTGCCTACACGTCAAAATGCCACATGGTAAGTTATTTCCTCTTATCTAATTACGTGTGCTCTAGAAAGTACTTCTATGGCTCAATTTAGAAATATAACAGTTTTAATCCTCCTCACATGATACTGTTTAATATTATTGGTCCATTGATAACTTCGCTATTTACGACGTTATAATAATAATGATAATGTGCCACCCAACCACAGCAACAGCCTTGTCTCTAATTAGGAAATTCCGTGTAAGTGCCTGAACATGGGAATCATTACGAGGCATTACCTGGAACAACAAGAACCGATTTAGAAAAGTTAATTTCCTAGTCAGAAATCGAACCTGAGATCTTCTCATCCAACGCCCATGGTGCAAACCGTTGAGTTAATAGAGGTCATCAGTAACTATTATAACATAATACCTATCACGGCACTTGTGTCAATTTTCCTTTTGTTACAATAAAAACGCTTTTTGATAAGACGTAATATCATTGTTTTCTTCAATTTTCTTCTGCCGCTAATGTCAATATTATTCTTAAAAGTAATTTGAGCTACTACTAAATGTCTACATTCACATTTATTAATACATTATGTCCCCTGCAGTCGCTAACCGCGGCAATTGCCACGTACTTTAAGTAATTTAAGGAAACATTGATAGATAATGAGAATACGATAAAATAATCCTTGAAAATGTTTGGGCGTGAACTTAATCTATATCGATAGACTACTGATATTTTTAACTGATAATTTTGATAGAAATGTAAAAATGTTATGATGTTAATATACGCATATACCTACTTACAACGATTACTTACACGATTTAATTCCGTCTTCCCCTCTCCATCACCGGGGGAATGACGTATGCTTGGGTTCCATCACTGTGTTGTACATATTCCAAAGATTCGCACGAAGCGTTACACTTCCACATTTATATGGTGAACGGCCATGAAATTGAATTCCCTGCCTGCAGACAGTATTCCCTGAACGTTATGCTTGGACCTTTTCAAGGCGAATAGTGAATAGGCATTATTTAGGTGTGCATGCTTTATAGTCGACCTCATCGTCACTCTCCATAAGGTTTGATGGATATCAAATGCGCACTTACATTTTTATATATAAAAAAAACATCTTTCGGGCCCAAGCTCTATTTATATAGATCTCGAATACTGGCTCTATCAGTTTTTTACCAAGATAACTATATATGACCAGTGCCTTACGCTACGGGCCAGCGCAAACCGACAGACGACAAAGCAGAGGACATTAAATTATTAGTGTATATTTTGTACTATTAAATGTGGAATAAGGTATAAATTTCAATGCTTTTGACAGAGCATTGCATTTTATACCTTATTTCAACGCCTTGCCGTTCACCGATTGGTGCCAGCCCTTCATCAGGCGTAGCTAAAACGTAGTACATAACTTGAAATGATAAACACCACCATCACGTGGGATTAGTAATTATACAATAGAGAGAGAGATAGAAATAGAGAAAAATAGATAGATATACACTTTATTGTTCACACACAAGAACAAGAGCAATACATAAACAACTTAAAACTAATGTGGTCAAAGGCGGTCTTATCGCTAAGAGCGATCCCTTCCGGACAACTTTTGAGGTAAAGGAAAGCTAATCGGAGTGGGAGACCTAGTTTGTATTTTGAAAATAGAGGGCGACTTAGAATGAAAGAAAGATTGATAACGTAATGAACTGCGTATGTTTAAACAGAAATGGAATGCGATGAAAATTATGTTACGGCAAATTTTCCTGTTTGATCGCATTATAATGACCTGTAATATCAAGCAATGTCTTTTCTATACTGTTATTGCAGGTTATTGAAGCCTAAATAAATCCTGTCGCGTTATCTTGTAGTTAAAAGAACTTGTTAAAACTTTATCGCAATTATAACACACGTTTATCAACGTATTATATATTTATAACAATGATGTACACGACTCTATCAACTGATATACCAGTGGGTACGGGTTTCCTCTGAGAATTTAGGCCAGGGGATTTAAATCAGTTGGCGCTTAACATCTACGGTGCTAGCCCGACACGCGTCCTACAGAAACACACACGGTGTCTCTAAAAAAATGTACAATTTTTTTACCAAAATTGTTAGGGACATAGTGTGTCTTTAGGACTCGTGACGGGCTAGAAATCCTGAAACAAAGCAACTAACATATGTGCATAAACAACCAACATTGCTCATTTTATTACAAAGTAAACAACGTCAGTGTATTGTTATGGAAATATCGACCGAGCAGTTGTTTTTAGTGTTTCCACTTTGTGACTAACACTTTACTAGGTTTTATTCAATTATTTGCTTACTTATAGATGTAGTTACAGGGGAAGTCTTCTTTTCAGGTCAGCTGTTTACTCTCGTCGTCTTTTCTCCAAAAGATTGTCTTTTTGTAAAAAAAATAAGTACGCATTTTACCTCCATCTCATCTGATTGAAAGTGACGATCAGGTCGACGATGAAACATGCACATCTAAATAATGCCTATTGACTCTCGCCTTGAAAAGGCCCAAGTTATAGCGTTCAGGGAATCAGTCTATAGCCGTTCACCATATAAATATAGAAACCGAACAATATATGCACAATATAGAGGTACTCCAGCCAACTTTGGGATAAATGTGACTTTAATAACTAATAGGACTTCAGTTGAAAATCAAAATTTTGCGAATTCTCTGTTACATAAAGAGAAATATCATCAGATAAAGTACACAGTATCGTATATTTTTTGTAAGATCTTTTTAATATAGAAATACCTAAGCCATTTGGTCCAGCAGAACTGTTTTTCTTCGCTTCTCCTCCGCTGACTCGCTTTAACTGACAAGCATGTATGAAAGCACTGATGCGCGTTGTTGAGGTGAAAGATGCGTGTCAGGAGCGTAAGTGGAAGGCCAAAAGGATCGTATTGTCTTTGCCTACCCGGCGACGTGTTACCTACTAGGGCATGTCGCGATTTGCAAATTAATTCTAATCGATTAATACCAATTCACACAATCGAGTAATGTTGTAAAAACTATTAAGACATTGCTTTAAAAAATGGAATATGCCTATGAAGGCTAACGCTCGCGTTCACCTGTAACATTCTGGTACCTGTGGAGTGTGAGCTCATTGTTATCCCATTGCATGCGTTACTAGATTTCTTTAGTTAAATTACAGGCACATGGAACTTCAACGTCAACTTGTGTTTCAGTGTGCAGTGGCATTTCCCCTAAGATCTTTGCGCTTTAAAGCTCTGAGTGGCACTGCAACTGTTATGGACAGGCTGTCGCTTATCACCAGGCGTACGTCTTGTTCATCCAGTTACTAGGTAGGAAAAAAGAAATATATATGAGCAGGTCCCAGTCCGCGTAGGGCCCGCGAGTGAACTACAACCCAAACCCTTTCATTCAGTAGTGGGACTTATTTCATTGTGAGAGGAGGCCTGTGCACAGTAGTGGGACTTGTACAACTGTATAAGATTATATTTCATATATATTAGCATATGTAATAAAGTAGTACGAAAGATGATGTAGTGACAAGGATAGAGAGAGGGATGCTTCGATGGTTTGGTCATGTAGAAAGAATGAATGTTGGTAGATTGACGGCACAAATTTATAGAGCGAATGTGGATGGAAGCGAGGGAAGAGGTAGACCTCGGCGAACTCATCTCAATCAGATTGAGAATGTCCTTAAAAAAGGTCGGGTTAAAAGTACTAAGAATAAACGGGCTTGTATGAAGAAATTAATGGAAGTGGAGGAGGTTTGTCAGTAGCGTAGCAAGTGGAGGTCCATAGTCTCTGGATACCACGGTGGGAGACAGGCGTGATGATATGTATATTAGAATAAGTGTACTTCCAGTTGTACCACTGAAAACATTAAACATAATCTTTGAGTCATTTTAAGGCGATGACAGAAATAGCGCAATTGTAATAAACATTAATCAATAAGACAATTTGAAATTGATAAAAAATCAATTCCAAGTGATAAATAACTAACTACAGTGTACATAAGTGATTATTATCGATTTAGATGCATTATGTTGGATTACTTCTACAATTTATTATATTTAATAATAATGTGCCAGACTACCACATCAATTAACTGATCCCAAATTATAAGTATCAATGTAATGAATTTATCTCCGGTGCATTAGAACAATTAGTGCCTGTACCATGAGATTAAAGCGACAGTTGTTGTTAGCGACCGCGTTATTTAGTTCATACATTTGTATGAAAAATTGTACAGCGCCCCTAGCGGTCACTTAGGAAAGTAACATTTTGCATGTAATATTTTACGTAGTCACTAGCGACATTCGCCGCCGTAAACTCATGTTAGAGGCGCAGAACAAAAACACCCAATTACAGTTTAACCATGAAATCATGATTTACCAAAGTGGTTCCTACCGCCCCTCCAGTGGGCGCTGAAGAGTCGTAGGTAGGTGTCTTGGAAGCAATTGGGAGGCGTTGATGCTGTATAGTTTGTTTGAAACCCAATACAAGTATCTGTAACAAATACATAAATAAATTTATAAGGTCTGTCGACACGGTCTGTAGTTCGCTTGGTTAAAAGCGGTGGCCCCGGCGTGGCCTTTGTATTTTTTTGCGATATCAACGGGACTGGTGTTAAGCGACAGACCTGTCCATGTCAGTTGTCATAAAGATCTGAGGGACACTGCCACTGCGCTTGTCACCCTGAGACATAAGTTGACAAGTCTCGTGTGCCTGTAATTTCATCTTACCCTTCAAAACCGGACCGCATTAATGCTTACATTACTGCTTGGCGGCAGAAAAAAGTAAGACCTAGACGAACTCTTTCACAACCAGCTCTACTGCTAGTAATAGTATCAGTAATAATAACAAAGTAGTGTATTTTCACAAAAAGTATATCAAAATCATATAGTAAAAACTCATGATATTCAATAAATAAAAAAGTAAACAATAAAAAGACATTATTTTTATCCACAAAACACATCAGCGAACAATTAAAACAATAAACAGTACTATTACTATTTTTTGTTCTGATAGTAATCGAGGCATAAGGCCTTTCCGTTGTTTTTTTCTTCCGTGTTAAACATACTTGATAATATGACAAATATTTTACAAAAAAAAAAATATTGAAAAAAGAGAAATAATACGCTTCCTCAGAAATATTTCCGATTTACCAAGTACGTGTATTCTGTATGAGAAACCAATTTCTGTTTATATGATTTAAATGTGTGTATAGAAACTATATCGAGTATATAACCAGAAAGTGAGACGAAATGTCATTTCATTTGTTTGAAAACCATTCTGCCAAATCGTTACGGTGACAACTGCGCTCCGATTGGCCAGCCCGAATTCGAAACAATTGACAGGTGTCGTCAATTGTTTCACTTCAATACGATCAATTTAACTTGAGCTTTGCTATAATGAACGAAAATTGAAAAATTACATATTTAAAATTTAATTACCGATGAAATTTGATTCCGTTCTTTTGGTAATTAGATGTTTTGCCGTTTTTTCCACACCACTGAATGGAACAGCCCCCCATTGTTAGACATATTATGTATATTGTAATAAATACAGGATATTTATTTTTATACAAGCTTCATGTGCTCTTGACTGTATCATGAACTTGCTAATGTGTTTTTACCTTAGCAAGAGGCTGCAAATGAGACATACTATATAAAATATGAAATCACAACCTTGGCATGCCATACAATACCTATGTTACTGTTATCCCGTTGACTGATTAAAAAATTATATTATCAATAATTAATTATACATAAATAAGATATACAATAGAACCTTGAAAATGATAGCAAATAGAATGGACATATCCGAGTCCATACAGTCGAGTCCTCAGCATACTTTTAAACATAATTTTTAATTTTTCTATCACTGACACCCGACGAATTAATTGATCTGAAAATAAAGGATTTTTAATATGAATATATCCACATTTATCATTGATAATAAATACCCACTGATGAGGAAGAAATAAAAATAACTACGTACTGGGAAATGATTGTTAAAAAACCGACTAAGTCACTCCTGCTCCCCCAGACTACGTATTTGGGATACAAATTTTAACTTTTCACCTAACCTAAGGTCCAGCAAACTACAACAAGAAAATAGCAGCTTGCCCGATGCATCAAGCAAGCATTATGCCCTCGGTTTTGTATAAAAACGCATCTGTAACTTTAAGAATTTTTCTAGACATCCTGTGGTCATATAGTAGAATGTAAATACTTGCATTTTAATATATACTGAGTTTAAGTAGTGATAGGTATAATAGAAAGAAAGAAACATTCATTCAGCTTATTAAGACGTTAAAGTTAACGAAAATGTTAAGAGACTCAACATACCTTACTTGTTCACTGACAATTAATTCACATAAATCGATTGTAATATCAAACGTAAGAAATGAATCTCTAAAGATTGCACATAAACGCACGTACGTTAAGGAATAATTATTATTTAGCGTAAAGAGCAAACTTCGAGATGATGCACTTCAGAACTGACAGTGGTTAGCGTCTCAGTATCTTTACACGTGATGTGGTACTTTATTACGACTACGCTGATATAAATATTTTTTTAAATACCCAAATTTTGAAAATTTGAGTTTTGAGCATTACCTTCTATGGACGGACCCCAGCGTGTGCAGGCAATTTGCAAATTTTGGGAGAAATGTAAATTTATTAACGATAGGGCTTCAGTTGAAAAGAAAAAGCCCAAGTTGTAAGGATGTTAGTAGTTTTCAGGGAATTTCACACCCTAGCTGTTCGCCACATAAATGTGGAAGCATAATTAATGCAAAACAAATGCTAATTTTCAGATAAATGTGAATTGAATAACTAATAGAGCTTCAGTTGAAAATCAAACCTTAGCTGGTTCTTTGTAGTACTTAAAGAGAAATATCCATATAAAAAGTATGTACTAAGTTAGACATTTTATTCTTAAATAATTCATTTGGTTATCAGTAGTTCCAAATGACATTTTCCAGTTTTTTTTATGTTTTTTCTCTTAAACCTAACTTAACCTAACCTTTTTTTTTATTACCGTGAGGAAAATGAGTTACGCATTCCCCGCCGCTGGGAGGGATATGTGGGACTCTCTCCTGGGGACCATGTCGGTCCCCAAGAGCATACCCACTAAAAACCTCACGATGTTCCTGCGTGCACCTGGCGCCGGAGCCGCGAGGTCCCTTTCAAATGCTGCTGCGATTCCGGTTGTGCCGGTCCGCCTTTGGGCGGACCCCTACACCGTCCCCCCCATAATCATGGAGGGCGACCTGCACGAAGATGTTCCGGAACATTTGGGGCATCTACCGGCGGCGGAGGCCTGTGCAATACAGGGGCAGGGTCTCCCAACCCCGCACCCTGCTGGCCTCCGCTGATGGGACGCAGGCGATCGGCGAAGATCCGTCGCGTGCGTCCTCTCCGCCGACGCCAAATGGTCCTAGAGGGCGCTGACTTTGCGGACCCGTTCGGCCGTCTCCTTCTGCGTCATCACTCCTCGCAGAAGGAAATCATCGCCTGCCATGACCTCTCGCTTCCCAGCATGGCTCTAACTATGCTGGGCAGTGAGAGGTCTCGTCCCACCACCTCTACGAGATCCCGGCGCTGCTGGCTCCAGGTCGGGCACACCTCCAAGTTGTGCCTCGCCGAGTCTGTAGCAGCGCCGCACTCGTGACACTCCGGGGTTACCTCCCTCCGTGCGATCTTGTGCAGGTAGTCACCGAAACAGCCGTGTCCGGTGAGTACCTGAACAAGACGGTAGGTGAGGGACCCGTGCCTCCTCTTTCTCCAATCGGCCAGTACAGGGAGCAGCGCCTGGACGGTGCACTCCCCGTATCTGGCCGATCGGAGTGCCTCCTCCCACCCCGCCTGGACGGCGGTCTTGGCGGCACGCCGAACCCCCACTAGCTCCTCTAGTGTGGGGCGCTCTCCACGATCTTAACCTAACCGAACCTAATTGTGTCTTTGCGATAAACATTCAACATGTCCTGCAAGAATGAATGTTTCGTTATAATTCGGTTTTCGGTGTAATGAAAATTCGAACAAACGTTATTTCGAACAAAAAAATTTTCGTCTTTGTGATAAGTTACCATTCGTTTTAGACTTCTATTTTAGCCTGTTTTCAGGACTTTATATGATCGGATAAAGTACATACTATAGAGTAACAAATTAGCACATTCTTTAGACAATATCCATGTGTATCGTATTTTTCATGTAAGACCGTTAGTGAATAGTAAATACCTAAATCATTTGATCTATCAAAACAGTTTTTCCGAGTAATCTTCGGGTAACTCGCCTTAAACGTAAATCATTGATAACGTTTACCTATTTACATGCGATTGTCATACCTTACGTGTACTTCATTATATCTATGATTAATCAAATGATTATATAACGTGTTTCTTTCAGTATTGGATAACAAAGGGTGTCATAGTAATTCCTAAGCAAATAAAATACTACGAAGACTTCGTGTAAAATGTAGTTTCCATACATGTTTTCGCCGTTCAAGAAGTGTTGCTAGAGTTGTTTGTTCGTTTTCATAACACACATCTTTGAAAATGTATTCCATGCATTCGAATGGTTTTGTATTTGCATTGGGTTATTAATACGCAATTTTTTTTACTACGTACCTAGTTTTGGTACTCTTTGTGTAAGGAAAAATAAGTTATAATTTATATTATTAATTAAACTTAGAACAACCACAATAATGGTTTCAATCGAAATGCTTGCAATGCTTGAATGCTTGCAAAACCTTAAAACTTTTATTTGTTGTAAATTTACGATATCTTGTGCTTTCTTCTTAAAATAAATGCCTAAATATCTTCTTCGAGAAGAAACCGGTACCTAACTTTGTGTCTTAGAAGTTGTAAAATTAAGTTGACAGCTAAAGTTTTACCTATTATTACGATTTTCCAGTATTAACGCCCTGATATAAGAACTCAAATTTAAAAAATAATGTGACTACATTACCCATATATGGGTATATAATAATTATTCATTTTGGGGAAGTATCGGTACTTTTTCAAGAATTTCGCCATTTTTCAAGGAAATTATTTTAAGATTGAATTTAGACCAACTCTGTCGGTCCTGTGCCCTGGTTTACCTTAGACAAGGAGATCATTACATATTACTGCCGTTTGTAACTGGTTTCGAGTGTCATTATTCTAAATTTATAATTCGACTAACGATAACAACACTATTTTAATTATATCTAACGTTTCCTTTATAAGTACCATAAATAAACTAAAATTTTGGTCCAGGACACCCCTACCACGGCTATGGCGCCTATCCGCCACATCAATATCCTCCTCCCCCTCCCGGCCATCCCATGTACGCCCCTGCGGGGGTAATGTACTATCCTATGCACCCCGCATATTTCTACCCTTACCCTCCACCCCAACAACCAGTCGACCCCGTCCAGGTCGTCGATGGGGAGGAAGAAGTTGTCCCCGAACTACCTGGGGAAACCGTTGAACTGCCGTGGAGTAAGTTGAAATAAACTTGAAATTAAAAACGGGTTTATGTGAGATAACACCTTTCTTCTTCAGGGATTCTCCTTAGATAAGGAGGTACTTGCTTATTACTGCCATTTGTAACTGGTTTCGAGTGTCATTATTCTTTGATAAAGATAATTACGTTGTACAGATTAATATTAGCGAAAAGTTTTTATGCATGTTTTTATTTGTATCTCAGTTTGCGAGAGTTTTTGCATGATGTGGAAATGGTGCAAAAATACTTACACATCGTTTCTTTATATAACGAATTATCGAAAATATATTAAATGAACAAATTCTTGGAAACTCCTTTTACCAAATTTTTATCGGTATAAAGATTGTCCACTAAGCCAAGCACTCTGATAATAGAATTTGTAATTCTGAAAAATAAGTCTGACCAGATTACCTATTATATATAAAACATAAAAGAAAGAAAAGAAAGTTTTAAGAAAAGCAATACATTTGCATTATTAGCCAATGTATTAGGTATTATCTTTTAAACATAAATATACCCTCTCGTAATTGTAATAAATAGCTCAGAAATACAAATAATTATGAATTTCACAATATATTTAACGAAGAAGTAAGGTGTTAACTCTTTGCTTGTCGTGTTTGTCTGCCATTGTTGGGCCAATCCTCTTTATGGATCTTCCTACCTTTCCAGTGTCCTTTCCATTTCCCACGCGTTTCTCCACTTCCCAGCTAATCCCAAACTTATATTCCGATAAATAAATTATCAAAATTTGCGTTATATTTATCGCGGTTTTCATTTTCGATTCCATATAGAGTTTTGGCCGTCGTCTTTTTTTTGTATTGTCGATAAAACAATTCATATGTTCCGAGTTTTTAATTCATATGTTCGTTCAAACGTACAAGATATTTTTGATGAAGTTAAATAATATTTTTAACGAAATTCATGTGCAGATACCATGTTGGAAATAAATAATTGTATCATGTCTTTCGGTACTCAGCTTTTCAATCAATAATAGATATTTGTCCATCGTTGACTTGTATTAAATAAAATGCTTGCTCTCTGCACATTTCCAATTTTCATAACATATACATAGAAGGCCGCGATCGTATAGTGTTAACCATGTGTTAAGTTATTGATGCATTGAAAAACACACTTTAATCAAGTTAGCCTATCAAGATTTGACATTGTTACTGCAATCATTATGCTTGACATGCTCAAAATACGTTCTAAGGAAATACGTTATATGATCACCATAAACATCTGTTGGTAACAAATAATTTTATCATCACCGCATATTACAAAACGCTGTAATACAGTGTATAAAAGTGCACATTGTGTTACAAACTTTCCAGCTTTCAATGGTGTTAATAACTACTATCTGGGTGAGATGGGCCGAATCTCGGAAGATGCTATTCTTGCACAAGGCTTTCCACACACTTCTTGACCATTTTCTTAAGTATGTCCTCTATCAGCGATCTTCCTGTCACGTGGATTTGAAAAAAATAGTAGTAGTAGTAGTAGTAGTAGCACGTGAAGGAGACTAATTTATATATACAGATAATGGGACTAATTTGCCCACCAAATTTCAGGTACATACCGTTGGGTGCCAGCGTGCCTGAGCCAGCGCAGCATTCCTCCAGGAGCGCTGCGTGTCGGCGTTGACGCAGACGGTGAGGAGATCTACGCCGGCCGTGCACACCATGAAGGCCATATCATGCCTGCTAAGGTCATCCCTTCCAAGAACTCTTGCTACATCTCCTTCAGGGGAGAAGAGATCTTAAAAGATCAATTTGAGGTGAGAGTTTTGGTATTTAAAATAAAACTTGAGGAACCATTTTGGTATACATTCTCTCAGTATCTAATGTATTTTCTAAGCGACCGAATGCTTACGTTGAAAGCAATAGAGAACATTATACCTATGTTGAGATCAGCATGATTATTATAGCATGAGCATGATATATCAGCTGCTGGTAGCTGTAAAGGTATCTGGCTAGGTGTAGAAACAGATGGCGTCACGGCAAAAAAGTCGTTAAAAACCTAAAACAAAGAACAAGCACATTCATAATGTCTGCTAGTTCGTTCCGTAGTGGCTTAGTTGGCGTAGCGTCTGGAACGGTGATATTCAGTAAACTTAAAAAACATCGCTGCAGCAATCTATTACCAAATTCACACAATATTATGGGCTCGGCAACGTTTCTTCTGAAAAAACTGAATGTGAAACGTGGTTGGCCTTGAATTATAATTATTGGAATTGATCGATTTCTATTGTTTCAGGTGCTAGTCCCGGCTATGTTCGCATGGCAGTTTTCATCCAACGGTGAAGTGCCTCCAGGCGCGGTAGAGGCCGGACAGACTGCCAGCGGTGAGAAGCTCTACTTCGGCAGGGTCACCCATGATGAGTGCACCACTCCTGGCAAGGTATAAATGCTTACCTTAGTTGTTATTTTTACTACAAAGTCTTTAAAAAAAACAAAAACAAAGAGCAATAAGTGGTTACCCATCAGTAGTCCGAAATAACATTTTCCAGAAACGTTTGCACGAATTTTCATAACTTCGAAAGTAATTTTGATAGAAAAATGTTTTTTTCCTTTTAAACTTAACTTAACCTAACCTAACCTAACCTAATCGTGTCTTTGCGATAAACATCCAACATATCCTAAAAGAACAACAGTTTCATTATAATTCGGTTTTCGTTGTAATGAAAATTAGAACAAACGTAACATCAGACAAAAAATTCGATTTTGTGATAGATTACCGCAATAAGTACATAGAAAAATTCGTAAGGTCCGGTGGTTCGTTCCGTGGCTTAGTTGGCATAGCATCTGCCACGGTTTTCCAGAATCCGGCCGAATCGAAGGTATTTTTTCAAGATCGAAATCTTTGTTATTAATTAACTATCACGCATACTTCTTTTTAATTTTTATGCAATCTATGCAACAGGTTGTTTGGAAATTCTTTTTTTATTATTAACAATAAAATGACTGGAAGAACAAATCTTACGAATGGTGGTACGCATCACCCCTAGCCATAACAGTTGTAGTGTCAACTCAGAGCATTAAATCCTAAAGATTAGACCCGTTTCTACTGCCCACGTTACACTGATACATAAAGTTGACAAGTCCCATCGTATCCTTCATATACCAGAACGTAGTAATGTTTACGTTACTACTTGGTAAGGTGAAAATACTTTCCTGGATGAACTCTTTCATAAGAAGTTCTATTATTACGTTTGTTTACCTTTTATTTCACTAATTCTCTTTCTTTAGCGCGAACTTACGTTCAACAAACAACATTTGATATTGAATGAAATGTCTGAAGTTGACCTGATATTGGGGTAAGGTAAATTATAGCATAAAATCTTCTTATTTACTAGTCACTTAAAGAAAAATTTGACACTAGACGAAACTTAAAATAAAATTGTAGAAGAAAATTTTTGAGTAGAAAATTTCCTCGCGAGCCGCACCCTGGGGCATCGTACCCAGAACACTGGCAACATTTCCTATTTGAATAGCTAATTCTTTGGCGGAAATAACTGCTAGGCTTGTGGTCACGTTCGGCGATCTCACGTTTAGGAGTTTCGCTTGTAGTGGCCCCCACGCCTAAATACAAATAATAATAATAAAGCCCGCACACTCACAGCCCCGAACTAGGGAAACTCTGTATCGCGAGTGTCATGGATACACACATAGACATCTACAAATTACACCCAAACTCACGAGAGAACTAAATGTAGGCCATACAATTATCTCTCCCGGCCCGGGAATCGAACTCGGGACCTCTGCGTGGCAGTCCAGCATAGTAACCGCTCGGCCACAGTGGCAGTTAATATTATAAAATAAATATTGTTTTTGTTTGTTTTCAGATCCACCCAAGTCACGGAACCTGCTATTATCCGTTTGACGGGGAAGAGCGAAGCTCCGCCGAATACGAGTGCCTCGTGCTTATGTAAATAACATACGTGTCAACGTTCATCTACACAACATCTCTTATGAAAATACCGAAATAAATTAAATAAAATTTAAACGTGGGTTGGTTGAAATTGAAAATTGATGTACAAACATAAGTTTTTACTATTAAGTATTTATCAAAAAGCACCCGCAGGTCTTATTTTCTTAGCAAAAAAGTTAATATTTGCTCATAATTTATGTTCATTTCGAGGTTGTTGTTTACTGGTCAAACAAATGTAGATGTAACTGTTATATATAGAGGTATGAAAGGTTTTAGTTTGTAACTTAATTTATATGAGTCATTACCTACTTAATATATTATGTATTTTACTAAATAAGAAGTAGTTGGGTGCATAATTGTATTCTTGAGTATTGTCTTACAAATTTTGAACTATAGAGATATATTAATTGCGTTATAAAATTGTTAAACCTGTTTTGTTAGTACACATTTTGTATTATTACTATTGTTTTTTTATCATGCAATAACAATTACGGAAATACTCCAGTCCACCAGTGATAATACGCTCATAGCATATAACATTAACTCGGGGTGTTTCCGGAAGCGCAAACCCTGGGTATAAACCTGGATCCTGAAGTCAAGGACCTATCACAATCTGCCGAGAATGGGCAAAACGTTTTCAGGGACTCTCTTCAGGTTCTTATTTTTTGTTTATAATACCAGGTGACGGGACGAACAAGACGTGGACCTGCACTCAGAACTTTAAACCGCAAAGATCGGAATGACACTGCCACTGTGCCCGTTACCCTGAGAAATAAGTTGACAAGTCCCATGTGCCTGTAATTTCACCAACGGCCTTAAGTTCTTTCACCTAACGTTACTGCTTGGCGGCAGAAATAGGTAAAGTGGCAGTACCTACTTCCCTAGACGAAGTCTTTCACATGGAGCTCTACTGCTGCTTGAACTTCACCTCAAAGCTTCTTGAAGTTATCCGGAGAAAATTCTCTCCTGAGCTAAAGCGCTAATCCAGTAATCAAATCGCATCCTAGCGCTTTTTCAGATCTATTTATTATACTATAGGCTTCTCTAGTACTCACTTACACTTCTGGTCATACAAGGGACATTGCCGTGAGATTTGCTGTAGTCTTTTCACGCTTCAACATAAGAAATATCTATAGCAATAGTAATTATAAGCAAAACTGCAAACAAAACTCTGTCTCAAATCATCTTGCCAATCAAAAGTTTAATCCTCAAAAGGGTTAATCCTCCTTTGAGCTCAAGCAATGTCGTGGATTATTAAATTGAATTATTTACTTCTCCTTAACTAAGGCAGAAAAACAACCTTATCTGTTACCGATGCATTGCCAGATAACGTGTTATCGTCATGATAGTGGGTGTGAGTGATGTGATAGCGTATAAGATTCTAGTTCTCTGTACAATGCTGTTGTTGTGAAATAAGTCATTACTCGATACTTAATTAAAACGGATTGCAATTCAGCTTCTAGAAAAGGTACTTCAAAGATTTCTAACCTCGGCATCATGTATGCTGAGCGAGAGTGTACCATTGCTTAGCCTACATCGATTATTTATCAGTCTATGGAACTTGTTCACCTTTAAAATTTATTATGCACAGGCTGTTAAGAGAATGGTTACTAATTTGCAGTCTCTTGAGGTTTTCCCTTAGAATGAAATACATAATGCAAGAAGCGTGAACAGGAGTTTCCTTAGGCTGTATCGCAGAGGCGCCTTCTCTAGTTGTTCTTTCCTACCCACCAATTACATTATAAAATACTTTTTTAATCTGTCAATAAAAATTTCTTAGGCTCAACTCACACTGGCGCAGACTCGAAGCGTCGTGTCGCGTCCTGTTTTTCAACTACAACGCCTGTCGTCGCGCGACTCCATATTTGCGTAACACAAATTTGTACCTTAATTATGCGAAAATAGAGATGAATTTGCTATATCGAGACGCGTCATGAAAAACATGACGCGTCGCGACGTTTCGACTCTGCGTCAGTGTGAGTTGAGGCTTACACCGTATCATAAAGGCGCTCTTTTCAGTTCTGAACCAATATTCTATTGCATATCACTAGTTCTGTACACAAAAAAAGACGATCGTATTTTTGTTAATTAAAATATCAAACATGACGCTTCTCAAACACTGTACTGCCTCTTGATTGGTTAAGAAATATAAACGGTACTTGGCCAATCACGGACACTTCTATTCTTTCTCTTTGGTTTACTCTTTTATAGCGTTTGTTTGGCTTTCATTGAGTTTTTTGTAGTGGATTGTTAACAAAATGTACATTCATCGACATTAGAGCCTAATGTATATTTAAATATTGGTTGGATTTCATTATTTTAATTTACTCGTAGAAAAAGTATTGTAAGCAATAATGATTGCTTACAATACTTCTTATGTAATCACATAATTAGCTTTTAACATCTCGTATCTATTAATCAGGCTGCTCGACAAAGCCTCGAGGTCTAAACAAGGTACTCGACTTTAAAAGCCCTCATTATGCAACGAATGCATAAAATATATTGTGATACACTTATAGTTACTTCAACCTATTTCATTATCTATACTTTTTTCTCCTTCACGCTAGTCCATTGTGCACAAATTTTAAACCTCCTAAGATGCCAAAACCGTCTTTACCCAAGTTCTCAGATGGTTGAAAAAGGCCTTATTTTTAATGTGAGGGTCCTCTCCCAGTAATCGTTGTGTAAACTAACTTTGTGTTATTACTTTATTAGTTGTGCAATGAGCCATATGACGTGGCGGGCTGTAGGATCAAACTTATAGAACGAGTGCCGCATTCCGAAAAAACTAAAACGAACTAAGGCTTAGGTGCTCGGATAATGAAGTTTAAATAGAGCTAGCCAGAATATTACAAAGCATGCTTATTCCAACCGGGTAAAGCGACAAACGAACGTTGGCTAAGGAATGGTCCCAGAAATATGGGAGGTTGTGCAGTGGGATGGGTTAGAGGACATTGTCAAAGTTACGCGCCGTAGATAGGTGAGATAGCGCAAGACCATACATGGTCTTCTTCTAGGCGAATTTAGGCTGCGGATGGTTAGCAATTATGATGAGTAATTTGTTGTAATGTACCTACAGATGTTTCTAAAGAGATCAGAAATACTTTGAAATGCTTCGATACTCGCTCTGAGTCACCGAACATACTTTTCTTAAACACTCCCTCCATGATGTTTATGAAACTAACACGTAACCGACACTGGCAGAATTGAGACAATAAATTAGTCTCACAAGCCATCCATAAAAAAATATACTTTGAAATGAAAAAAGTGTTTAGTTTGTAGATTATAGATACAAAGATCGAACACTTAGAAAAAATTCCTCCGATTTGGCCGGATTCGAACCGACGTCTTCAAGCAAACCGTGCCAGACGCTATGCCAACTAAGTCATGGATGGAAGTGAAATGTAACATTCCCTTACAGGATGCAGGAGTTTACAAGCTTAACTGTGAGTGCGGTCTCTCTTATATTGGACAAACAAAGCGAAGTAGTTGTACCCGCGTCAAAGAACATATAGCTGATGTCAAACACCGTCGCGTAAACAAGTCTGCAGTCTGCGAGTATGTCATGGATAAACCTACACATTTAATGAAGTTTGCCAAACCCCAGGCCCTTGCAAAAGAAGTCCGTTATCTACCCAGGATGCTGCGAGAGGCCATTGAAATTAAAAAACATCCTAATTTCAACAGGGAAGACGGTTTCTCCGTACCACCAGTTTGGGATCCAGTATTTCCTCTAATGAAAAATCCCAAACAGACATAAGACTGTAGTACTAATTAATATGTTTTAGTTTATTCTAATTTCTATTATTAATTAATAATAAATTGAACTTAATAAAAATTCATGTAATAAAATAATTTGTAAAACTTAATTTAGCGTAAATTGGAATGTTTTCTTTATAAAATTAATAATAAGGTATTTAATTAATAACTATTGTAACCATAGTGAAAAAATAGGGTGGGTTGCATCAATATTAGACATAACTGGTTGAAGACTGTACCACCTCAGTCAACCGTGACGATGGGACCTGTACAAATATACGCGATTTAAATCCGGAAAAATAGTTTCATTTCCTAGTGGAGTAATTTCGTAATAAATAAACATTCTGACATTCAACAAAAATGTAACAATAAAATTGTTTCGAAAATCTTTACAAATCAACAAAAAAAAGTTTCTCATTATGACTCTATTTTTCTACTGATACTTCAGAGTGGTTACACAGTCCTTACTTGACTGGCAAGCGACAATAGACAGCTTTAAGAACAAATAAATCTGTCCGTACATCTACCAAAGTCAAAGTCAAAGTCAAAGATTATTTATTCCATAGGTAAAATAAATTTACACTTGAAATCGTCACATTTAAGCTACTGCTCGTTCACTACGCTGACCTCCCTGAGAAGAACGAGCAAGAAACTCTAGGGATTGCTCTTTTCAAATAAACTTAAACGCTATGGTATACACTTTTGAATCAAATTTGTGTGGATTCTGGAGCCATGTCGTCTTTCCATACATCTTTATCTAACACGTAGTCTTCAATTTTGTAATACGATTTTTCGATCAAAATCTACCGTCGCTGCAATACAAAAAGAACAAAAAGAAATTTTAACCGACCTTACAAAAAGGAGGAGGTAATTTGTATATATCACGCGGTTGCTCCGCCATTTGCGAACTGATTTTGATGATCCTTTTTTTACTGGTGTAGTGGTGTTTTCAGTAGTTGTGGTCCAATTCAAATTTGAAGAAAATATTTCACTCCAAAAGAGGCAAATTAGGGAATGAATCTGGTTTATTGAATCTCTTCCACTTTCTTAACCGATTGGTAAATAGATGTAATTCCACAAACTTTAAAGGGCTTCTTTTTATGGAAAAGATATAATTATTTTAATTTTATATTTTATCTGTCTTGATTATATTATTAGTTTTTGACACTTTTGTAACATTTACAAATACCATCCATGGCTTTTTTTTTAGGCAAAGATTTTGTTTCCTGCTAGTCGTATGTGGGGTGGACCAAAACTAACACTGATAGTAAATTTGTCATAATTGAGTAAGGCAATTAACTCGCGAGCGTTGTGGAACACGATTACCTTAGATCTTGTTTCTAAGCAAACAGTTAACCGTTCTATACTAAGGTCTGGTCTCGGTTTCTGTCGCATTCTTTAAAGAATTTGATTTATAGATGATGGGAATATTGATATCCCTATCAAGGTAGAGAACAGAACTATCTTGTACCTATTTTTCAGTTCGTTTGTTCTTTACGTTCATGTTTTTTATTACATCAATACGAACATCTTTTTCTCCCCTTAAATGAAGAAAGAAATATCAACTGTTTTGTATTAAATATGTACAAATCTACTCAACCAAAATGTTCCTTTTTTGCGTCGCTTTCTTCATAGTAAAGGTAGCATTTGAATATAAAGAAAATATAAAGGAAAGAGTCCGTCCAGGCAAGTAATGCCAGCTTACCTAATTCTGCCGCCAAACAGTATTGTGAGCATTACTGCATTCCGGTTTTAAGGGTGCTGGTGAAATTATAGGCACATGGGACTTGTCAACTTCCTCAGGGTGACAGGCGCAGTGGCAGCACTCCTCCGATCTTTACGTTTTAAAGCTCTAAGTGGTATTGCGACTGTTATGGACGTCCCGTCACGTGATGTTATAAAAAAACTTATATATTATGATTATTGACCAAGGTCTTTATAAACAGTTTTTGTCTTCCTAAATTTGATTTGAATAATTACGCTATTTTGCACTAAAAGGTTTGTTTAGGTGTCAGATGACTTTATCAAAAGTTTCTTCTTCAACAAATTTTTACTATTTCTCTCGCTTGTTAGTACTAACTTGTGTCATCACCATTCAATATAACACGCAGCAAATGCGAGAAGAAGACGAAGCCGCAGGTCGTACACGACTATTAAAATCTACTTGCGTCGATAATTATACTGAAGCTGCGATAATAAAAATAAGATTAGGGATAAATGAATAAAGACTTTAATTAGGTAAAAAATTATCTTCAAGCTCAGAAACAAAATTTTTCTCACTTATACTACATCATCTCAACGACAAATATGCAGAGAAATTTTGCGATTTTCTATTTTATAATTATTTACAAGTACTTATTACAATAGGAAATGACACAATTTTTTTCGAATTTTTCAAACAAACCAACGTTTCGGGCCCTTTACAGGTCCTATGATCACGGTTGACTGAAACGGTGAGGCTAGGCAGAAGGAATGCAAAAAAAATGGCATCTTACGTAAACTGTTACTTACACTTCTTAACCTTTCTACTGATAGTAAAGTACCAACTTATGTAGTTCTGTACACATTATACTTATTATTTTATCTGATTAAGATTGCGAAAAGTTATCTACTTCTAAGTATTTTTTGTAACATCAAGGTAACAAATCTACACCAGAGAAATCACTCGAAATATCACCTAAGTCACATCAAAAGTTTTCAATTAATTATTATTATTCTTTGACCACAATGCAATTAGACGGTAAGGTAGATGTAAATAACCTTCTACATAAAGGTGACAAAGGACAACAAGGAAACAAAGCAGTGTTTAACAACACAACATTAATATTCACCCCATATGTAGAAGAAGCGTTGTTTTTTTTTTAGGATTTAGGCGTATGTCTGTACAGTTGAAATTTATGCCTTTGATTTAAAAAAACGGAAATATAACTTTTCATGTAACGAAACGTAATTTTCAATCAAGGACCTTGACAGCACTGCCCTTAAAAGCTCACATGGGGGAAAGGGGTTTAATATTTACGAGGCCTCTTCTAGAATGTTACCAATTTGTAAGGTATCTCTACCTACACTTGTCAGGTATCCTGTCTGATTGCAGCAGTGATTGCTGTTGGAGATGAATAATGAAGAAATGGAAAGAAAATTGGGATACGAATAGGAGTTAACTGGGTTGATATCTTGGTTATGGGATAAGACCTTAACTGCATATCGGAGGTTTATAAAATAAAATTCAAAGATATAAAGTCCGAAACCCGAATGGGACTAGTGTTGGGTAACTGTCCGAAAATTTTCAAGTGGAAATTTTTAAATTTTTCAATGGTCTGAAAAATATTTAGAAAGACATTTCTTTTCTGAGTTATAGATTCTTCAATACGGAATATTTTTCGTGTGACCTAATAGTGCCAGCGTGGCGAATTATGAGCTCGAGGTTCTGATAAGAGGACACCTTTGTTCACGATGGAGCGTACAGTATATGAACTGATCTAATAATTGATTCCAGTAGTTATTTTTTAGTCCCAGCCTCCAATTTGTGCCGTATTTGGTAAACTGAGCTACGACTTTATAAAACATAAGAACTATGATGTCATTGTATTGTTATTTTTATTGTTATTGCACCTATGTATGATTTATATTTGTACAAACAAACCATAAACATTTCCAAGTATGATCGATCCTATTATCTATTCAAAGGCTGCGTGTACGAATACAAACACAGTAACTTAACGTTTGACGGGTCATTCTTACATTGACCGTCAGTCGAGACGCACGTTATTTATTTCATTGAAAAGATACAAAAACATTTGGGGAAAGAAAAAAGTCAATTGTATAATTTGTTCAATTAGTTTTTCAAGAGCAGTCCTTTGGACCATGAAGGTTGTGATCAGTGTTGTAGTGATGAGTAAGTGTTGTATTATTGGTTTTTTAAATTTAAAACCACACTGTTTTCCTTATTTTAAGTCTGAAATATATTAGCCGATAATAAAACTTGCAATAACAACAAAGTCTAAACACTCCAACGTAGTGATGTTAATTAAAAATTAAGTTCGTAACTATTTACATTTATTTGTGAGTACTATTAAACTATAATTGATAGATAACACAGCAAAACTGTGTCACATGCGTTGTGGGTAAGTACGGTCTACAGTACTACTGTAGTATATCCACGCAATTACATCCCACAACTGATCACAGGTCTTCTCTTAGCAGAGGCCTTCCGCATTCGCCACGTTTCATAAAGCAGGTGCAGTAAATTCTTATGATGTTTCTTTGTGGAACTTGTTCTTTGTAAAAATGGACAAAATTTAAACTCTCCACCTCCATCTTTATTTCTTTTTCTATTTCTAAAGTTATACAATTTAAAATTTGTGTACCACTTTTGGTAAAATATGAAAACTGTTACTATACACCACCTTTTGTAAAACATATTATATTTTGTATAACATATATTAAATTTCAATCAAAGAAAATCTTTATGATTTTCTAGTTATATTCTGCTCGCTCAGAGTTATTTCCTTCACGTACCTTCTTGGCCCCTTGTATGAAAGCAAGTAAACAGAATTACGAAATTATTGGAAGACAAGAGCTTCACTAAGCACTGCATAAGACAAGTGGAGTCTCGTGCACAGCCGTGGATCCGTTATATAAGTTTTTTTTTAAATATATTAAGTGACGGGACGAACAAGTCATGCGCCTGATGGTAAACCACACGCCTGTCCATTGTAGTTGCAGTGCCTCTCAGAGCTTTAAATCGCAAAGATCTGAGGAGCACAGCCACTGCGCCAGTCACCCTGAGACATAAGTTGACAAGTCCCATGTGCCTGTAATTTCACCAGCACCCTTCAAAACAGGAACACAGTAATGCTGACATTACTGCTTGCTGGCAGAAATAGGTACTAAGCTGGCAGTATTTGCCTGGACGGACTCTCAAGAAACTCTGCTGTTACTAAATAAAATATATATTGATCTTAAAAATCTATCTCTATGTACAAATGCTACTTTTACTATGAAGAAAGCGAGGCAAAAAAGGAACAATTTAGTATTTTTATTTGAACAATTAGAAGCTCTACTGCTACTAAAAATTTCTTATTTACAACGCTACTTATATATAGGGTCACATATAACGCAAATGTTTTAATTAGACATACACCAATATCTTAGTACGTGCATATAGACGCTTTATTACGAGCAACTGAAAACGAAAACGTTTGAACGTACGATTATCCAATAAGTATTTAGCGCGTATATTGATTTCATAATATTTTTTACAGTCGTGGGCACAGTCGTCGCCGATTCAGGACATGGATGTGAGGACATTTCCGATTATTACCTCGAACTTGGGTGCACGCCTGTGAAGAAAGCTGGCAACAGCTCCGAATGCCCAAAAGCGTTCACCTGCCCGGACATCAAGTATACTGATCCTGCTAAGTGCTACTACAGGTAAGTTAAAATCAACAATCTTATCTGATATTGCGTCTATTACTCTAGCCTTGTATAGCCCCAAATTATAGTTTTCGAGAAACATACGCAGTGTATTTCATTCGTTTGCTTTGAAAAGGAGAAAGTAAAGTGTTTCGTATGAATGGACGGTATATCAACAACATAAAGATGGAATGTTCCGCCCTTTAAAGGCGACTTCCCCACTTCTCACGACCCGTTTTTTTTTGGAGTCGCGCTATGGTAAGAGGGTCGCCCGAGCGCGCCTGTGGTCACCTGTTTTTAGATCCGCCGTGTGTCGGTAACATTAAAGGCACCCGCTCGCGTCACGCGCCATGGGAAAAGGGCCGCCCGAGCACGCCCGTGGTCGCCCGTGGCGGCCTGTAGGCGGCTTCCCACAGCCCGTTTTTCAAAGGCAAAACGGGCGAGCTCGTAAGAGGAACGGTAAGCGTGGAATTCAATAGTAGAGTCCCTGTGCACACTTTCAGGAAAGTGTAAGTTAAAAACTCGATAAGTAGGCTAGTTATTTGCGTTAGTGGTACATGTTTTATGTGACCTAGCTTAAGTTTCAATCCAGTATAATGGGAACTTTTGAGTCGAACACGATACAGGTGGGAATTTGTTTAAGTTCGGAATATTTGACGAAATGAAGACGTGAAATGTCTTTAATAATAGATTGTTGATACCGTCTTATCGAAATCTTTATGGTAAAAATAAATTAAAATCTATAATACCTTTCCTAATAAACGAAATTCCTAAAGAAATAAAAATATCGTTAAATTGTAAAAACATCAAACCTAAATTAAACAATTACTTTTTAGAAAAAATAAAAAATAATTCGTGATTGAAATATATAATAATTATAACCTTCTAATTTGAACTAACAACATACATAGGTATTAACTTTAAATGTATTATTAAAGTACTGTTCACGACCATTTATTAAAATAGACTCATGTTCAGCGGTGGGATGTACATACAAGGATCAAGGTTTAGTGACACCTTTATTAACGACTCTCACGCACACTAGAGGAATGTCAACACGCAGCAGTACGAACGCACACACTACACATAGAAATTATTTGTACGACGAATGAGCGGTATACGGAAAAACTTAGTTAAGTTTATATTATACTGGAATGTTTTGTTTTTTTAGTGCTTTGAAAGTAATAAATAAATATTTAAAAAAATGTCTTGTAAATCCCAGTTTTTGTGTTTTAGTACCTATGGACGAAGCCTAGTTCTGATCTTTAGATTGTAAATTTAACTAATTTACATGTAATTTGTTAACCCATGGAATGTTAATTAATAGTCTTTACAACAAACTTTATAACGACTTTGTATTGTCAGCAGCCGTAAGCGCAATAATATCGATACGCTGTGTCAGAAATAAAAAAATTACCTTAGAGTGCTAGCGAGAACACCCAAACCAAGTGAATTTGCAAATATTGGGCCCTAAATTCGTTCAACCGAGAATCGAACCCGTGATCTTCTCAGCAAGCGTCCAGAGTTCTTTCAGTTGAACTGTCAAGGTCGTATTATATTTATAAAATTGGTTTAGGTATATATAATATTGGTCAACAGTGTAATAGACTGAATGATCAACGACTTACTTACACGGGATTTGACTTGGAATAATTTATAGTACGAATGACGGTTAAATAACTATTCAGTATTTCATGTTCTATACGATACAATAATTTTTAATAATTTTTTCTCAACATTGTAATACTTCCATTAGTGTTGTAAGGGACGAAATACGTTATGGTTGCACATCAACATTTTGTTATACATTACTAAGTAAATAAAAAAAGGATGATAATGGTGCACGTACGCTTTGTTTAGCGCCTAAGCATTACCTTTAAATATATAAATAACATACACTTAAGATTGGAGACCATTTTTCCACATTCAAAACGAAATTTATAAAAGGGTAAAACAGACGACACGAATGAAGTCACAATCGACCGTCACTTGTTTATAATATAAACAAAAGTTAAGTGTCACGAGTTGACCTCGTGGGTTGCCGAGAAATGGCCGGGTTTTTACATCGGTCAATGCAAAAAAGGAGGTGTACAGTAATGACCAAGGTCAGAAGTCGAACCTCGGTGAGTGTTTGTTAATTTCACAATCTTCAGTGGTTCCATTTGTCACATAAATCGTTTTGTTATACGCCTACACAAAACTTCCCTAGTTTCTTCCTCGCAAATTGCGAAATCTTTCCTTACAACTTATGTACCTAACATTGTGAAATATTAACTTGATTATAATTATAAATACAAAGTACGAAAACAAGGAGAAATTCTTTCGATCGCTCAGAAATCGGATCTAAGATATGAAAAACTAAGGCCATACGGACGCCATAGGCATTACAAGAATGTGAACACCTGCATCTGCAGTATTGAATTCTTGAAATTAAACATTATTAGTTATTTTGTTCCATCCTCTGAGAATTATTGTAACATTATTGACATTGGACATGTGATCTGTCAAAAAATTGTTTTTAATTCAAATTTTCTACAATTTGATATAAATTTTACAAAAAACCAACGGATAGCCTGGTTAAATTTTCCATTTATTTTACTCTGACTCGAAACTGTGACAACCACGGGTTGCTCTGCCAACTGAGCTACTGGTCGAGTCACCAGCAGATCTTACGAATTCCTCTATGCGTTTGTTATGAATTTTTGAATTAGTTTTTTTACGAACGCCATAAGCGAAACCTTGTGAGAGACTTATGAAGCTTCTCATTCAGCACGTACCTTTGGTAGATGTCACCTTTTTAACACATGCATGTTATGCTCCGAACATTAACAGTTAGTGTATCTTTCTTTTCAGGGGCGTAGCCTACGAACCTGGTGCAGCAATTCCACAATCAGAGATCTTGAATCCGTGCTCAAGGGTGTGCGTGTGTCAGATATCCGGTGACGTTGGGGCTAGATTCGAGTGTGCTCAGGTTGACTGCGTTGAGACGTTCAGCTCGGAGAAAAGGGAATGTTTGTACACCTTCAACTCATTGAACGACTGTTGCAGTACTGGCAGTGTTTGTGGTAAGGGTCATTTTAATTTAATTTGCTCTTATTATGTGGTGCTGGAGAAGAATGGAGGGAACCAGTTGGAGGCGCAGGTTGTTTGGTTTAAGACTGCTAACAGGTCGGCTGCATATTTACAGTTGCAGCTGAGACTTTGACTACTTGAAGTTGATAACGACTTCACGCATTAACTGCATGCAGTTGAGACTTCAACTTGCAATGTCGATAGTCCGAGAATCGAAAGTAGTAATTAACATTCTTACGGGGATATATTGATGAGACACTGATGCTTTTAATATTGTTTTCACCTGACTAACTCGGAAAGGCTTTCTTTCTCATTAGAAATCTGCGCACTAAAGCGTTTTTTGCACGCTAGCGCGGAAAAGGTTTTTACATTTCGAACTTGACGATGGACTGTGGTGCACCTAACTTTTTATTTCGATGAAAAAATAAATGGCACATTCAAATAAGCCTAATAAGTCTTGTCGTACATTACTTATTTATGTAACATAAATCTGTTGGTATATTCTACTCTTATTATTGTTGACATGAAATTGACAATGGTAAGTAATTGAGTTTATTAAATTATTTTAATTCGTCGAAGAACTAAACTATTTAAAAAAAATTACTTAATCACCCAAATAAAAGTACGAGCAAGAATAAAAATTGATGAGATGTAAATTCAGAACGCGTCTGAAGATAAACTTTTTCATTGAATAAAAAAACCGGTGTTTTATAGTTCAATTGTTTTTCTTTCATATATCTACTTTTTCCTCGCTATAGTGAGGTCAAATGTTGTGTGTTTCGCTCGTCAGCAAAGTTGTTTTGCGTCTCGTGCTTGAAACCCTCGCTACGCTCAAGAATATATTTTTTCAATCTTAGCTTCCTTCGCTTGCTCACGTTTCAATACAAGCACTCGCGTCAAACAACAACTTTGCAGCCTTGCATAACAAATAACTATTGTAATAAGTTCTTATTGGGGTGGCAGAGGGAAAACCAGGTTTTCTCCAATATGGTGGTTTTATTACACAACATATAGTGGGAAAGGACTCCCCCTAATCGGCACGTAGTCGAGGACCCGTACATACGTTCCAATTAGGAAGCGGCTCAGGGTGCAACAACTAGTACAACGTTCTAAAGCGCAGTTCCAATTAGAAATCCGCGCTAGAAGCGTAGTATAATAGTTACTTAATATAATAATAATAACGCACACACTCAACATAGCCCCGCACCAGGGAAACCCTGTGTCGCGGGTGCTATGGACACACACATAGACAACCACACTTTATACCCAACTCACGAGAGAAATAAATGTAGGCCATATAAATATTTCTCCCAGCCCGGGAATCGAACCTGGGACCTCTGCGTGGCAGTCCGGCATGGTAACCGTTCGGCCACGGAGGCAGTCAAAGTAACCTGCAGTAGGTTCTAGGCTTGTAAAGTTCATGAACTACGAACGTTTAGGAATATACTCCCGACACTGACCGACATGAACTAGTTCGTCTTGGACGGTTTTAATAGTTCATCGTTCTTATTAGTTCAGTACGAACTAAGAACTGTCTGCGTTGATAGTTCACCTGTCTTTTCTTCAGCAGGAACGGTGCTAGCGAGACAAATAGCGACCTTTCACTACTTTTTTGTACAAGTTCGAGTGAGATGCTCTATTGAACGTTGCCAGCTCGTTCTATGTCTCTAATACGTATCTACATTATGTATATACAGAAACAAGATTGCAAAAAACTAATATTTTTGGTAGGTGTGGTAGGTATTTGTATGTATAATATTAACCTACATGTACGAGTATATGAAATAGTTGTACCTAAATATTGGTTTAAAACACTATTCTAACTAAAATTCTTATTATGTAAAAAAAAGGATATTTATTAGAATGACAGTCTTTAAACCTGTAAAATATGAAGGAAAATCAAATAGTACCGATTCCAAATATTTAATACAGTCACAGTGTAGTATTAACCTCATAATTCTAGAAGTCCGTAGTAGTTCATGTGAATAAAATTACTAGTTTGGAGCGTTGGTTCAATGTCCGAGCAATGACAAGACGGAATTAGATGAACTAGAAGACCGAGATCGACCTGGTTCAGTTGACCGATTGAACTACCTAGGATCGCTCCCTCTAACACTAACGATCTAAAGCTTACTTCCAAAGAAGGAAGCAGAGCTAGATGCGTAGTAAGTTGGATTCATTAACGTTCGCATCGCCGCCAGAAGTCATTCTGCGAGGGAAAATCTTAAAACCGCGATGCAGAATTTGCAATTTCGACGCCAATGCCATCTAGCAGTGCGTGACGGAACTAATATGAGTTGCCTGTTATGTGATTTTGTTACATCTTCTCCCCCTCAGGCCCCGAAGTCGTCTCGACGAGAGGGACTGAAGAAATAAGTTTTTACTTGCGTCTGTGTCCTTTGGGTTTTTGTGTAGAGTTAGCAGTGACTTGCTTCCTCAGACGTCCTCTTTTCTAAGGGGTTGAATAGATTCCGGCACGGTTGTTACACTATTAATTTATCAACAGTGGCAATTGACATTCTAAAGTATAGTTGTAAAATATATAACAGTGGTGTGGCGTGAAAAAAAATGCTAAGTGTTGCTATTTTATTTACGAATTTTTTAATTTCTTAATACCAAGTGAAGGGGAGGGACAAGTCGAGCGCCTCGTGGTAAGCGACACCCCTAACCATAACTAACAGTTACAGTACATGCGACTCACAGCTTTAAATCGCATAGATTTCAGGGGCACTGCCACTGCGCCCGTCACCTTCAGACATAAATTGACAAGTCCCAAGACACCACCACCTTTAGCGCCATTAGATTTCAAGTTACGGTATAAGGTAGTCGTCGTTCGCATCGTACTGCAATGCGTAATAAAAATGACGACATCCGGTAAAACTAATAAGAAAATACTTGAGGAATCATCGCATCGTCTTCGTCTTCAATCGATGCCATATCGAAATTAACTGAGTCCCACATACGCTATGACAAACGGCCTGCACAGGTACACCTCTCTGGTATATCGTAGCGTGTATTTCCGGCAAGCTAGCGGATGATTCCGGTTTCGCGTACTGTCCAGTAACCGATTGTTAACTTTTTAGTTCCAGTTTGTAGGTATGTATATATAAGCAAAGTTAGAAGTTGGTTCCTTTTTTTTAATAAAAATTACTTTTAAAGAATTATTTAATGTACTAAATTCCTGATAAAACTTACCAAATTATGCATATTGGTATGAAATCAACCGTTAACTTATTTAAGTTAATTTTACCAAACATTAACGATTGATCAATAGCTAAGTGGTTTGTAATATTCCATTAATTTTTACAGGCAAAGACGCCGTAGCGGCGTTAAAGAACTGCGAAATAGACGACAGATCATTTAAAGAAGGAGAGATGTTCGAGCCTGCGAATCGTCACAAGATATGCCTGTGCTCATCTGAATGGGACGGGAACATAGACAGTAATAAAAGCTGCCGAGACATCAACTGTGGCATTGAACTTCACTATCAACCAAAACTCAGGCAGAATTGCGCCCCTGTTTTCTCTGAGCATCAATCGGGCAGCAGCAAATGTCCTATTGGTTTTCAGTGTCGTAAGTTGTCACCTTTATTCACTTAATACAGTACTGTGTTTCGAGGGTACAATGTGTGATATTTGATAAATTATTTTTAAAAAAATCCCATGGAAAATAGGGCGGTAAAACACTTTCAACATTTTTTTTTAATGAAAATAAATAAATAATAATATTCATATAAATACGAGCGAAAAAGACGAGCGTTTTGCGTCGGCGCGACGGCGGCGGTTCGGGCGGAAGCAAAATTCTCAACGACTTTTTTGCTTTTATTACATGGATATAATAAAGCTTTTTCTGAACCGGCTTAAGCCGATTCTACGTTAATAACTGTGGTGACGTCCTTATAGTACGAGGCATAACTAGCCTTTGATTGACTAGACGTGGTTAACCTTCTTACCATCGAACTGTCCTGAGTGCACGCGCGAAACCATCTCAAATTGTCCAATTCAAAATAATATTAGGATTAAAAAATAAATAAGCTTAAGCTTTAGTAAGACTTAATCACTCAGCGAATACTGAGTAAAAGGCTTAATTTACATTGCTGCAGAATGGAATGGAAGTGAAGTTTTGTAACGAAACTGAACATAGTGTAATGAACTTTATGTTAATTGTCTAACGAACAAACTATACAAAGCAATGTAGTGTACTAAAACTTTACTTATTTAACTCAATTGAAACAAACAGTAATGAGGTGTTTTATCATACATTACCTGGTTACGTTATTGTAAAATTATAATGAACTTTTTTAAAATTCTTCTAAATGTAAGTATTTAATACAGTACACATATTTTCGGGCAATAGACACCATTTCGAACTACCTATTTAAAATACTACTAAATACTTAAATCTAAACAGCATGCATTAATATTTAAATAAAGATTATTAATAACACGTATCACAACTTTCCTGCGATAAACAACCTAAAATCCAGCCCTTAAAAAGATGACAGCTAATAACATGCGACCAAATTAAAGAGTACGATAGTAATACGATCTATGAAACTCACTACTAAATATTATATTCGACCAGTTAACCCGACGCCATTACTTTGCTTGCAAGTAACAGCTGAAGTTTGTTTACTTTTAGTTAATTACCTAAAGCTTTATACTATAGATACGATACGGTAGCTGCGAGAATGCCCAAGACTGTACGAGATTCTCTGAAAGTACGGCACGATTTTGCGTACGTGTTTAATTTGCACTTTAGACAATTGACAAAAAGTTCATTACTTTACAAAAATTCACTTCCATTCCGTTCCGCAGCAATGTAAATTAAACCTTAATGCAATACTTTTACTTTTATTTTTCAGCCAATGACTCGATAAAAGTGACAAGACTAAACAAGGTGACAGAGGTGACCGAAAAGTGTGTGTTCGGCAACGACACCCTCGCAGTAGGTGATGAGGTCACCGTCATGGAGAAATGCGTTACCTGCAAATGCGGCTTGCCGCCGTCCATTCATTGCATTAAAGTTGAGACCTGTGATAATTAGAGGCTGAGAAGCTGCTTCTTAAACCCAGAAATAGTGGATCCAGGATTTATGTTAGTTATTGACAACAATTAGTTTTTCAATATAAATTTTAAATTTACACGAGTCACTAAACGATAGCTGTAAATTAGTTTACCTATCACTGGGGTCACTGAAAATCATACAAGCTGAATAGATAACGGATTCTATGACAGCCTGCTCTGTGATGCTAATTATATATAATTTCGCTTGAGTTTGAATAAAGCATGCTGCGCCTACTGTTTGTATAAATCTGATATTTTTAGTCGTAATATATTATGAATAGGACATAAATAAAATAATAAATAAATATAAAATATTGTCAAAATACAATGACCTGCAATAAGAAATTGAAATACAATCAATTTCGTCTAGAAATTAATTCGTCTACATTGTAAAATTTAGGAATATAGGGGTTTCAGTCGGGTATAAATCGGAATGAAACTATTTTTCCGGATTTAAATCGCGTATATTTGTT